GCATAATTCAGCACAAATGCTACATAAAACAGATATGCTGAACGAGAAACTGTCAAATAAGCTTTCAGTCGGGCTGAGGCGAAATGGCGGAGTGAAAAATACTCCAACACGACAGTCCAAATTAATTAGCATCTTAAACAAATGCTAGAGACATGTTTGTTAATGGATTCTCATGTTTGTCCAAGGTAAAATTGTATACCAAACACATAATGAATAGGGTAACACTTTAAGCAGCAATTATCACTATTAGCTAGTGTTTTATTAAAATATTGGTTGTTTATGAATACTTATAAAGCACATATTCTCTATAATCTTGTTCTATATGCCCAATTAAACCCAAACTAAACTACCTTACGGTTAATAAGCAGCAAATTAGGAGTTTACTATGGCAAAAATCAAAGTTGATTTTTATTAGCGAGAATTGTACCTTGGAATAGGATGACACCGTGGCTCAGTGGTTAGCACTGTCGCCTCAAAGCAAAATGGGTCGCTGGTTTGAGTCCCGGCTGGGTCAGTTGGCTTTCTGTGTGGAGTTTGCATGTTCTTCCCGTGTTGGTTTGGGTTTCCTCCGGGTGCTCCGGTTTCCCCCACAGTCCAAACACATGTGCTATAGGGAAATTGATTAACTAAATTGGCCATAGTGTATGAGTGTGTATAGGTGTTTCCCAGTACTAGGTTGCAGCTAAAAGGGCATCCGCTGTGTAAAACATATGCTGGATAAGTTGGCGGTTCATTCCGCTGTGGCGACCCCTGATGAATTAAGGGACTCAACTGAAAGTATTGTACCGTAAAATAAAGTGTATTTAGGAATTTTACATCATCATTTGTTTGTTTTTGATAGTTTGTTCACTTTTTTGGGACCGTGTTTTTAATGAATATGTATTGGAGTCTTCTTAAACAGTCAATATCTTAATGATAGACTAGCTAATAGTGAGAATTGGTACTTAAATAAAGTGTTACCCCACTCCTATTGGAGTGGTTTGCCATCACCAAGTTGAAGGAGAGTCCTTACCCCAGGTGGAGGTTTTCAAGTATCTCGGGGTTTTGTTCACGAGTGAGGGAAGGATCGAGCGTGAGATTGACAGGCGGCTTGGTGCAGCAGTAATCTGGTCGATGTACCGGCCCGTTGTGGTAAAGAAGGAATCGAAAGGCAAAGCTCCCAATTTACCGGTCAATCAACGTTCCTACTCTCACCTATGGTCATGAGATTTGAGTCATAACTGAAAGGACAAGATCTCAGATACAAGCGGGGGAAATGAGTTTCCTTCTTAGGGTGGCAGGGCGCACCCTTATGGATAGGGTGAAGAGCTCTGTCACTCGGGAGGAGCTTGGAGTAGAGCCGCTGCTCCTCCACATCGAGACAAGTCAGCTGAGGTGGCTCGGGGATCTGTTTAAGACGCCGACCTAGGTAGGTGTTCCAGGCATGTCCCACCGGGAGGAGGCTCCGGTAAGACCCAGGACACGCTGGAGGGACTATGTATCTTTGATGGCCTGGGAATGCCTCGGAATCCGCCTTGTAGGAAGAGTCTGGGGAGAGGGGAGTCTGGGGTTCTCTCCTAAGACTGCGCCCCGGGAAAGAGGTAGAAAATGAATGACATGTAACAGTTGCACAGTTAACAGGCAGATTAAAATGTCAACACTGGACAGGCAATAATTACTGCTTGGCTATTTTGAAAATGCTTAGAATCCACTGCTGAATGCTTGATTCTGATGGGTTGTGAACTTTTCTAAGACGTGCAATTATTTTCAAGGAACTGCACAGCTAAAGTAGCTGCAGGCAGGTCCATATTGCTACACCAAATAATTTCAGATATTTCAAAGGTCCTTACAGCAAAAACATAAAAACAAAACAAGGCACAGACCAGAAATACACAATCATTTATTCATTTTCTTTTCAGCTCACCCCCTTTTTTAATCAGGAGTCGCCACAGCGGAATGAACCAACAACTTATCCAGCTTATGTTTAACGCAGCAAATGCCCTTCTAGCTGCAACCAATCACTTAAAAATACCCATAGACAGCTTACCCAATTCACCTATAGCTTGTGTGGGAAGGAAGGAAGGAAGAAGAGCACCACATGGACACGGGGAGAACATTCAAACTCCACACATAAATGGCAACTGACCCACCCGAGGCTCCAACTAGTGATCTTCTTGTTGCGAGGCGACAGCGCTACCCACTGCGCCTCCAAACCAAGAATATACGGTACATAAATTAAGCAACCGAATACAAGTGACAAACTATTTATGTGCTTATATTCCCCTTTAAAAAAATAATTTATTCATGTAACACACATACCGTTATTCTTGGTCTATCTTCAGTACAATCTCTCTCGTGCACACAGAAACATGTCTGCACTGCCCCGTGACTTTATCAGTAAATTAGTTTCACACAGAAAACATCACATTTCTCAGTAGTGTGAGGAGTTGGTTTCTGAAGAAGTCAAACATATGAAGAGTTCAGACCCTAAAACCTCTAAATGCCATCTGAAATGTTCATACAAAAGGGGCATTTTGCTCAAACTCCTGTGTGTATGTTCAGTAATCCACTTTTATGGCAAAGAATAGGTTCTTTGCATTGCCTATAAAGTAAAAAAACAACAAACATAGGATGCTAAAAAATGTCTTTTTAGACGGTATTTAGAGGTTTTGGCATCTGAACTCTTCATATATAGTTCCGTTATTAAAAGCATAGAGCTATGTTTGACTTGCATTGTTGGCTCAACTCTCAAATCGTATAAAAGTGCTTTATAAATAAAAGCTGAGTTGAGGTGAATCTCCATTACTAGCTCTAAATGACTTTGGCATTATCAATGGAGGCTTGAGATGACGTGTACGTTTCAAGTCTTACACACAAGAGCAATTCAAGGACAAAATGTGGCAACCGTAGTATGTTGAATGCACACTTGAGATGCAGTGGCCATGACATGCTGTTTTTTTCCGGTATTTCAGTAGACAGTTGTCAATTACTCCATGTACGTTCAAAAAAGGAGCTTAACATGTATTTGAAAGTACATTTGAAGAACAGCTATCAAGTAACCAGTAGGCATGGGCCAGTATGAGATTCTGACGGTATGATAACCTTGGATATCACGATACTGTGATTAATGCTCTAAAACAAGTTCTATTTAAATGTCTGGGTAACAAAAAAACCTTTTCCTCCTTTGAACACAATATATTTTTATTTTGAGAAACTTTTTTTTATTTTTTTTATATTTAAAATATTTTAAATGTTTTGGAACGATAAACACCCCAGCAGGCACAGGATGTCAACATCGATGTTGTACCCCAACGTCATGGAGGTACGTCAATTTAAAATGAAATCTTTTTTTGGGATCTTTTCTGCTGGAGATACAGTTGTCCTAAAAAAGTACATTTAAAAAATCATACACGTACCTTAGGAACGGTATAGCTGAAAATTTTGGCGGTTATTAAACCTTGACTTTTTCCAAACCGTGGTATAGCTTGAAAACGGTTATCGTCCCATGTGATCGATGTTGTACCCCAACGTCAAGGAGATGTTGCATTTTGTTTGGGATTGAAAATCCAGTTAACATCAAAACCCAACATCAGGCCGGCGTCATTGTCCAACTTCCAACCTAAAATCAGCCAAATATCAACGTCTAATGATGTTACAGCTTGACGTTGTGTGGACGTTACTCAGATGACGTCTATCAGATGTTGGATTTTGGTTGCCATGCCTGAAGAATGTCAGTATTTCATGTCAATATGATGCTGGTTTAAAATGTCGGCTCGGCGCTGGATTTTGGTCACTTTCCAACACAACCTAAAATTAACCAAATATCAACGTCATTTGTCGTCGTTATTGGACGTCAAATTAATGTTGTGCTTAGACGCTGGCTAGACATTGACTTTTGGTCACCTGAAGTCATGACCTACATCTAACCTATCATTAGTGTCTTATGATGTTGTGTGGCTGCTGGGATGTCAGGCTAAATAATTTAAATTAATCAGTGAATCAAACATTCTGCTGTCTTCATTTGCTTCAAAAACACAGATTTCTGACAGTTTAAAATGAAATCTTTTTGAAGATCTTTTCTGCTGGAGATACAGTTGTCCTAAAAAAGTCAATTTAAAAAATCATACACGTACCTTAGGAACGGTATAGCTGAAAATTTTGGCGGTTATTAAACCTTGACTTTTCCCAAACCGTGGTATACCTTGAAGACAATTATCGTCCCATGTGATTGATGTTGTACCCCAACGTCATGGAGATGTTGCACTTTGTTTGGGATTGAAAATCGAGTTAACATTAAAACCCAACATCAGGCTGGCGTCAGTGTCCAACTTCCAACCTAAAATCAACCAAATATCAAAGTCTAATGATGTTACAGCTTGACGTTGTGTGGACGTTACTACGATGACGTCTATCAGATGTTGGATTTTGGTTGCCATACCTGACAAATCTTTTTTAAGATCTTTTCTGCGGGAGATACAGTTGTCCTAAAAAAAGTAAACAAAAAATAATAATAAAAAATCGGTCCCACTTTATATTAAGTGTCCTTAACTACTATGTACTTGCATCAAAAAAATAAATACATCTTACTGTGTTCATAATGTATTTGAGAACACTTGTGGTGCTTTTGAGTTGGGATAGGGGTAGGGTTATGGACAGGTTTGGTGGTATAGGTAGGTTTAAGGGTGTGTTGAGGTGTAAGGAAGGGTCAACAATGTATTTATGAATGTAATTACAGAAGTTAATTACAGATGTAATTACATACAGGTATTTAATCAAGCATTAAGTACACAGTAAATACATGTATTTACACAATTAATACACTGTAACTAATTGTTAATTTCTGTGTAAGTACATATTAGTTAAGGACACTTAATATAAAGTGGGACCAAAAAATCTTACACATTCCTTGAAAATGGTATAGCAGAAAATGTTGGCGGTTTTAAAACCTTGAGATTTCCAAACCGTGGTATACCTTGAACACGGTTGTCGTCCCATGTCTAGTAACCAGAGGACAATACATGTGATGTTCATAGAACTGTACCATTTATTATTGTACACACACCAGGTTCAACCCTTCTTAATGCGACTAAAGATGACGTGGAATGTTACAGTAAGATCTTGCATAAAATCCATTGCTGTTGAGAAAACTTCACACACAAAAAAAAGACCATCCTTCATGTAATTATCATGATTAGTTTTTTCATTCTCTCTTTTAAATGATTTTTGGATCTGATTTTCAATCCAAATACGTGTTTCTTAATTACATCTTTAACACTATCACCAAACACTGTACATCAACTCCAGATGGGGAGGGAAGTGGGGGGAGGGGGAGATCAAGAAATAAACCCATAAAAACAACACTGCAAATTTAACATAGCAGTTAATACATCGTTAAAGTCGGCCAATCAGAGACTATTGTCAGCTCATATTAGAATTAACTTCAGAAAGATGGGATTTCGGAGCTGTCAGTCAACGGTTACCATGACGATGGGGCTGAATCGGTGTCCTCACGCTCGGCGTATGAAACAGTCATATTCATGTTCGCGGTAGAGTAAAAACGTTCAGTCACGATTCGCCGTTCTGCACTTTGGAGACGGGCGGCTGCATGAAGTCTTTAAAGGGCCCCAGGGCGTCTTTAAGGGCCGAACTGACTTCAGGAGATGTGCAGGTGATGCATTCAACCAGCGTTGGGTACAACGCAATCACCTGAGCCCAAACGTTCCCATCCACTGAGAGAGAAACAGACAAGAAGTACATGAAGTAAACAAAAACAAGGATGTAGAATCTAGATTTGCCTAAAGCAGACTTACGAAAACATTAATCATAATGTAAACACAAAACAACAGTTTCCATCTGGAGCTCTTTCACGGGACTCCACACTTGTAAACACTGACTCCAACGGGTTTGCACAGCTCAAGGTCCCACCCACACTGATCACAACTACCCAGCCGACCAATTACAGAGCTCGAGCTATGAGTCATTGCGACGTGTAGTTAAATTTTTTTCTTAGAGGTGCAAATCGGCGTTAGACACAGCGAGGGCTATGTGACCGCAACAAAGACTGGAGCCGGAGCATACACATGCGCTTGACGCAGAAGTATAATTCAGCCTTTACCCTAATCAGCGAACCTTATTTGCTATTTCTACGCAGAATTTTGTCGATCTGTGGATTTATGTGGAATAAAAATTTATGTGGATTTATGCGGTCTCTTTTGTACATAAATTATTTAAACATTTGCATTTTATTCAATACTATTAATAAAATTATATTTTAAAAAATCAATAAATATTAGTGGTGTCAAAATTAGTGCGTTAACGCATGCGATTAATTTGAAATATTTAACGTGTTAAAAAAAATTAACGCAGTTGCAATTTATTTTCTTTCCTGTTGTGGCCGACGTGTGTTGCATTACAATTAATGTTGCATTACCTTTCGATTTCTGTTTTAATGGAATTTGATACCGCATGGCGAACGAGATAAAAAAAAACCCTCCGCATATCGTGACTCGGTGGTCCTTTAAGGTAATCAAAAAAACTGACTGCTTACATGGTAGACTTTTTATAAGAGTATTATTTTAATCATGTTAAAATCGGAGTATTGGTGTTCATGTAAATGAAGTGCCAAATGAAGTCGCGAATTTTAAAAGAGCTGTCGCGTTCCTCTGCCTTTCAGTATGCGCCCTCCAATGTGTTATTAAGTTTGACACGTGCCTTGTGTGTGTGTGTGTGTGTGTGTGTGTGTTTGTGAGTGTGTGCCTACCAGCAACAAACCTGCCTAAACGTCATTGTCCGTAACCACTAAATAAAAAAATTACGAATTGCCGTTTTCATTAATTTTATATGTGAATAGCCAAAATGACAAGTTTCATTCTTTTGAATGTGATAATCGTGATTAATTAAAAAAAATTGTGATTAATTAGTAAATTTTTAAAATCAATTGACAGGACTAATAAATATATATAAATTTACATATATTTGTGAGAAAACAAACAGAATGAATGATGGGCTTAAAAACCTGCAGATTTCTGTGCAGATTCTGTATGTCTACCCATCTTTTATCATTGCAAATATATAAAATATTACAGCAAAATATGTCTAAAAAATACTCCCCATGAAAAGATTTAGTCTTCCTAAAATAATAATAATAAGTCAGAGCAATAGCCTGGTGCTTAGCTCGTTGACATATGGTGCAGTAGCACGCTAGGGCATGCCGAATTTGAAAACCCAGCACGAGGACATTTCCCTACCCTATCCCTCTCTCTCTCTCTCTCTCTCTCTCTCTCTCTCTTCAACTCCACTTCCTGTCTCAATACTGTCCTATCTAATAAAAGCAAAAAGACCAAAAAATAAATAAATAAATCTTAAAAAATAATAATAATAAACTCTACAATGTGTCTGTGCTGTGAATAAATGTACAGTATTGTCCCAAAAAAATAAATAAAAATAATATATATATATATATGTATTAAATGGAATTACATAAAATACAAAAATAAATAAATGATGTTGGTGAATATCATGTAGAGCAGGGGTGTCCAAGCTCCTGGAGGGCCGGTGTCCTGTATATTTTAGCGTCCTTCAACACACCTTCCTGAAGTCTCTAGTATACCTAAAAGAGCTTGATTAGCTGGTTCAGGTGTGTTTAATTGGGGTTGGATCTAAAATATGCAGGACAACGGCCCTCCAGGACTGAGTTTGGACATCCCTGATCTAGACTATCAATATCATACAGCTACAAAAATATTGTGCTTGTGTTTTACATCTATCAGCCAATCTCTGCTGGGTTTATAAAACAAAGATGGAAAATATTTATTGTAGTTAAAAAATGTGGCAGAAATGCTTTCAAACAATCACGATGCTGAAGGACAAACGCGTCTCACCGTTCTCCGGTTGCGTCTTTTTCAGGGAATCCATGAGAGTACTGATGGCTTTTAACACAAAGATGATCTCAGTCACTTGTTGCCTTGAGGAAACAAAAGACAAATGGTGACAAACGCTGAGAATCAGGCAGAAAACAAGCTCATACTTCAGCCAAAAATACAAAGAAATAGATGGTATTGTGCATACAGACTGAAGTTTTTAAATAAAATGTCAAAATTTATTAGACTGCTAGCATGTCTGAAATGTGCAGAATCTAATCATAAAACCTGAATGACCAGTATAATGTTACAGAATTTGACAAATTTCGCATGAAACGATCAATAGTGCTGTGCAACTAATCAAATCGAGATGTGGACTAGTGTAAACTGCACACTATTTAAGTACAATAAATATATCAAACAAACACATATAATAACGCTATATATAACCCTGAATGGTTGAAATCTTTACTGCAATGTGAGCATTAAGCATTACTCTTTCAGGTTGGTCCCATTTACATTTCTCTTTATCCATATGGACTTGCATCTTATGTTTATGGCTCTGTAAATATTGTACATGTTTGCTGTATTGTGTTTTCTTCTGTTTTTTTTTTTTATTTTTTTTAATGTTAGGCCTAACCAGGGACGAGGGCTGCAAATTAGCTTTATGCTATATGCCCTATGTACACAACATCGGTTATCTTTGTATAACAATGTCAAGTGTGTTGTCCCTGTAAAATAAACAAGCAAATAAAAAAAATAAATACAAATTTAATCAGTTATTGTGACCAATTGTCATTTTCAGAGAAAAATATTTACATTTTGTTTTTAATTTGGAATAAATGTTATTAGACATTTGCAGAACAACACACGTTTACATTCTACTCATTCCTAAACATAAGAAATTGATTAAACTGGCTGTATTACAACTTAACAGAGTTAACCAGAATGTAGAGACACACAAAATTATTATTTTTTTTATTTCTGAAGATACAAATAATATAGAAAATAGAAGTTTCATATCCATTTAAAAAATGTCACATCCTGATATTGACACATATCACGATTTACTACCTTCTCTTTAAATTCAATGCTTCAGGTGTGATCATATTTCTATATTTATTTAGAACTTCAGGGCATTGTTTGATTAAAAATGTAGAAATATAAAATTAATATTAATCAAATATAAAACCCTTTTAAAAAACGAACGATTTCAAGTCTAAAACAAAAATGTTAAATATTGCTAAATAAAATAAAAATAAAAACATTGTACTTTCAAGACCGCATTTTTCTCACAATGGCATATAATATTATTATATTATAATATTATATAATATAATGGAAAAATAAATTAATTAATCAACACATTTCTAATCATAATAGTGTTATTAACTCATCTCTAATAACTGATTTATTTTCTCTTTGCCATGATGACAGTAAATAATATTAGACTAGATATTCTTCAAGACACTTCTATACAGCTTAAAGTGACATTTAAAGGCTTCACTAGGGTAATTAGGGTAAAGTTAGGGTAATTAGGCAAGTCATTGTAAAACAGTGGTTTGTTCTGGAGACAATCCAACACTAATATTGCTGAAGGGGGCGAATAATATTGAGCTTAAAATGGCTTTAAAACAATAAAAACTGCTTTTATTGTAGCCGAAATAAACCAAATAAGACTTTCTCCAGAAGAACAAACATTAGAGGAAAAACTGTGAAAATTTCCTGAATCTGTTCAACATCATCATGAGGGCGAATAACGTTGACTTCACATGTGGTCATATTGCACAGCCCAATCTTGGAGGCTCAACATGTTGTAGAGTCACCCAGAAGTGTGAATGTAAAAGTGTTATTCACCTGGGCAGCGGGCAGCGTCCACTGAGCCGCTCGTCCTCCACGTATCGTCGCAGCACGTCCTGCGCCCGCTGCAGCAGCACCGACAGCGCCATGCGGGAGATAAAGCCCTCCTGCGGCGTCGACACTTTATTACTGAAGGAAAACTGCAGGAGCGTCTCGAAGCACACTTTGGAGAAATCCTCCCGCATGCGCATGTCCATCTCAGCCTCTGTACAACAGCGGGAAAACACACGTTCATTACGGTGGCTTGAAGAAAATGATGACACATTTGCTTGTTGATTCTGAATGATTTTACTGCATCGTCTGCATAGTGTTCAGCGCTTCGAGAAACTATTAAAATTATTATAATAAATATTATATTCAATGTAACATTCAATTATTATCTTTTTTGGCTTAGTCCCTTTATTAATCCGGGGTTCGCCACAGTGGAATGAACCGCCAACTTATGCAGCATGTTTTTTATGCAGCGGATGCCCTTCCAGCTGCAACCCATCTCTAGGAAAACAAAGAGAGGGCGGGGCATAAACTAGCCCCTCCCCTTAAGGAAAACAGTGTTTGGTTTTCATCACCGCTCTGCCAATGAGAGTGGCTGAGCTCAAGCACATCAAATGAAAAGACAACAAGAAGAAGAGGGCGGGGCATGTCAGACACTAGAAAGCATTTGATTCGTCAGAAGATTAAATGAGAAACTGAAGTATGAGGTGACGTCAAAAAGTGTTGATCCATTTAGGTGGAAGTGACCAACTGCAGGATTTGGATGTTTATATCAGGTTTATATCTTCTGAAATAAGTTGAGCTGACTATATTATAGGTATCCTTAAGACTAACACACTGATACTAACATCTACTAAGCCTACCTGTGAATGATGAAGACTGCGAGTGGATCGATCCTTTATTCAGCATGCTCATGATACGGCCCACAAACTCTTTGGGTATGAAATTGGCAAATGGTAAAATCTCTGAGCTGATCAACTGCACCACCTAGAGGAGAAAAAAAAAACACACAAATATATATATATATATATATTTTTTTAATACATTTACTTATTTGTTTCCTCATGCAAATTAAATATAATTTAAAAATATTTTTTAAAATGTAAAACATCCAAAATATTCAAATAAAAATTATTTTAATGCAACAAAGGTAAAAATTGTTTATATATATATATATATATATGCTTATTTAATTAAGACATATATAAACATATATAAAGGTTTATTTAATTAGGAACAAAAATCTTTACTTACAATTATTATATTTTAATATGAAATAAGAATATGTAATATAAAAATATTTAAATAAATAAAAAATTAAAAACATACATATATATATATATATATATATATGACAAAATATAATAAATATAATATAATAAAGTAAATATAATAAATAAAATAAATAATAAAATAAGCAAATATTTAATTTACACCAATGTAATATATTACATTTTAATATAAATTTAATAAACTCAATTTTACACACACACACACAAAAAGATCTCTTTCAATATTATTTTATAATATCAGCTTATTACCAACACATCTAGTCTGAACTGCACTTATTTTAATACAGTAATACTGTTATTCCAGCTCTGGGTTGCAGTGTGATATTTATCCATGTGGATCTACAGTTGAAGTCACATTTATTAGTCCTCCCGTGATTTTTTGTTTCTCCTTTTTCCAAATTTTTCCCATATGATGTTGAACAGATTCAGGAATTTTTCACAGCATGTCTGATAATATTTTTTCCTCTGGAGAAAGTCTGATTTGTTTAATTTCAGCTAGAATAAAATCAGTTATTAATTTTTTAAAAGCCATTTTAAGCTCAATATTATTAGCCCCTTTAAGCTATATTAGTGTTGGATTGTCTCCAGAACAAACCACTGTTTTATAATGACTTGCCTAATTACCCTAACTTTACCCTAATTACCCTAGTGAAGCCTTTAAATGACACTTTAAGCTGAACACTGGTGTCTTGAAGAATATCTAGTCTAATATTATTTACTGTCATCATGACAAAGAGAAAATAAATCCGATATTAGAGATGAGTTATTAACACTGTTATGTTTAGAAATGGGTTGAAAAAATCTGCTCTGTTAAACAAAATATTTAGCAGGGCTAATAACTCTGACTTCAACAGTCGAGTGAGATGAAATTACCTCCACATCTACAGCTTCATTCCTCTGGAACTCCTGTATGGACAGATTATCTGGAGGTGTGCTGCGGGAAACATGAGGAAGGATGAAAATAAGCTGTGTTTTCTTTTAATATGTTACGATATGATGTGGAGATCGGACACCTCTTGGTAAACAGGAAGTCCTCGAAGGCGTTCGCCAGCTCCGGCCACATCGTGTCGAATTTTCCTGATGATGCTTGTTGCCGAGCAACAGGGAGTCCAATGGAAAGCACTTTGAGCAGCGAGGAGACGGCCAGTTTCCAGGTGCTCTCAGCAGGACAGGCGTATTTCAGGCCCAGAGGAATCCTCACAGTCTACAACACACACGAGGAGGAGTTTCAGCAATCGGTTCTCACTCTTTTACTCAGAATTTTTCAGGGTAAAAAAAAGAAAGAAAAAATGCTGAATTTTAGATGTAAACTCAGAATACAGACGAAGTCAGAGTTGAGTTTTTCTGGAATTATGAGTTAATATCTCGCAATTCTCACATATTTGTGTTCTTCTTACCATCAAAATTCTGAGTTTATATCTTGCAACAGATTTTTTTTTTTTTTACACACATCCTAAAATCCTTTTTATGGTTTTTCTTTTCATCTGGCAGCTCTCTAATTTTTGAGGGTAAAAAAAGTCATGATTTTCAGGCGTAAACTAAAGAATATAGAGCAAGTCAGAATTTTAAGACATGAACTGTGAGAAGAAAATTTATTATGTAAACTAAGAATTCAGAGGAAAAAAATTGATTCTAGGATGCATACTAAGAACTTTTGTGGGTAAAAAGTGATGATTTTCAGATGTAAACTGCCAAATCCCAATTGTGAGACAAAATCTCTAAAATTATGAGACAAAGATCAGAGCTTTGATATAAAAAACAAAGAAAGAAGTAATTAGAGGATGTGGACTCTGAATTTCATTCATTCATTTTCTTTTCGGCTTAGTCCCTTTATTAATCTGGGGTCACCACAGCGGAATGAACCACCAACTTATCCAGCATGTGTTTTACCCAGAAGATGCTCTTCCAGCTGCAACCCATCTCTGGAAAACATCCATACACAATCATGCAGTACGGACAATTTAGCTTACCCAATTCACCTGTACCGCATGTGTTTGGACTGTGGGGGAAACCGGAACAACCGGAGCAAACCTACACGAATGCGGAGAGAACATGCAAACTCCACAAAGAAACGCCAACTGACGCAGCTGAGGCTCGAACCAGCGACCTTCTTGCTGTAAGGCAACAGCACTACCTACTGTGCCACCGCGTCGCTCTGCTCTGAATTTTTGAGGGTAAAACAAGTCATGATTTTGAGATGTAAACCCTGCAATCATGAGACAAAAGTCAGAACTGAGATAAAAATCAAAGAAAAAAGTCATTTAAGCATGTGTACTCAGAATCTGTGAAGGAAAAAAAGTCCCAACTGAGATGTAAATTCAGTTTGCATCTCGCAAATTCTGGCATTTTTCTGTTCTGAGTTCACGCATCCTGTAATGCCTTTTCTTTCTAATAATTTTCTTGTTTGCAGATCATAAAATGACTTTTTTTCCATCTTGCAGTTCTGTCTTTTGTCTTAAAACCCAATCTTATAATTCCTGGGTTTATCTCCCACAGCAACAAAAATGCTTTACCTCACTGACCTTCTTAGTTTGAACATCCTAAAATGACCCCCACCACCTGAACACTAAGCTTACCAATCATACATTTTTGTACATTTTTTTTTTTACATTTCCATCTTGCAATTCTGAATTTATCTCTCACAAATGACACTTTTCCCCCAGAATTCATCAAACATTCATTTAAGGATGTGTAATCTCAGAACTCCACGTTTACATGTTATTAAATGACGTTTTTACCCTTTAAATTCTGACTTTTGCATTATAATTCCAGATGCACGTCTCACAATTATTACTTTTTTCAGTGAATTATGAGTTTAATTGACAAAAAAATGATCTTTTTCATTATTCCCAGATTTGTCATAAAATTCTAAGTGTTCATCTGGCAATTCTGACAATTATTGTTAGATTAAATGCAATAAAAGGGCTTTTTTTTCTTGGAATCAATATCATTAGTCAAAAAATAATAATAATTTATGCATCCCTAAAATGCCCTTAAAATCTTGAAATAAAGACATTTTGATCCTCAAGATTGCGAGCATCCTGCAATTCTCACACTGTCTCCTTCACTGTTTACACATCCTAAACTGACTTTTTTCCCCAACAAATTCTGAGTTTACGTCTTGAAATAATGACTTTTAAGTGACCGTTTGACTCCCATAAAATTAATTTTGACTACATCTTGCAATTCTCACATTTCCCTTGTTTACAAATCCTGAAATCATGTCTTTTCCCCTCAGAATTCCCTCAGTTTTTATTTTGCAGTTGTGACTTTCGTCTTATAATTCCAGGCATTTTGTCTATTTTGCTCCTCAGAATTTTCTAAATGATATTTTTCTTGAAATCCAGGTCATCACTGCACATTTGTTATTTTCTGAAATTCAGTTCTCACATTTCTAATGTTTTTATTCTATTGTGGAAACATGGATTAGCCAGTTGCTCCACTAAAAACAGCTGAAACTGGCACAGAAGATGCCAGTGATTTACATTTGAATTAGTACCAACGTTAGCAGTTTCATCTATAACATAACCCAATGATTTTAGCTTTGTACCTTGATGATGTTTTGCAGAACTTTCTCATTGATAACGGCTTTGTGGCAGGCGGTTTTATGATACAGATCCACCACCACCTCCAGAGATCGCTCCGCAAACGGCACGTAATTTAAGGCCACCCACTCCGCCTGCACACAAAGAGAAAAACACAAACTAAAGACAGCGAATATATAAGAGCAATATTAACATGCATAACATCCTGCCTCATCCTCGGCCTCAAAGACACATATACAAATCAAATAATAAAACATTGAAAAAGTACAGCGAAAATACTCAACACTTCAACAGCAAATCTTCAAGAGGTTCAAACCAAGGAGCATGTTACATCACATTATCCACACACTACAGGACTGGGATTAAATGCTGAGGATGACAGGAAAAAAATCCCCCACAGATTTCCACACTTCAGCGCTAATAACATTTGTGCAAGACTTTAGTGACAGAATCCACATTACTTTGACACAATCCATAACAATAGATAAAAAGCAGCAAATACAGGCCGAGCAAACCACTGATGCACACAAGGAGGAGCAGATCTGTTCATAACAGCTTGATTGGAGCTGGGATAGTTCAGCAATGTTTGACACCATACACAAGTGCAAAATAATGACCTGCCAAAATGTGGCTGAGGTTTAGGTGCGGAATCATAGTGTGTAGTATACACTGCAAACTACTTCAAAAAAATCTAATTTGAATGAGAGATATTTTGGTTTTAATCCAGTTATTTGTATAGTTTGTTTCTTGAAGGTTTGTGTAAAATAATATATGGAAGTCTGATGAGGAAACGAGGTTAAAAATCAGCTGAAATGATTAAAACACAGTAACTGGAAGGTCAACTCGAGCACAATGCATTGTGGGATACTTATATATCAAGTAGTAGGTCACTGAGGTAGTTTATTAAACACTGTGTGCATACTACTACAATAGCAGTAGCATTTTATTCACTGTAAAATGATGTGTCATGAATAAAATTTGATGGTGGCGCTAGAGAGTTTGTCAAATTGGCATGATAATTGGTACAAGAAAACGTAAAACTATCCACTACAAGTGTGTCAAATTTCAGAACATTTCACCACATAGTTTTGGAGAAAGCCAGAAAGTAATGCTGTGAAGTTGTTAGCATTTGGGTCCAGCTTACAAAAGTAGTATATTATACACGGTGTACATACTACAACAATAGCATTAGCATTTTATTTACTATACAATTATACTTTATATATAAATAATAGTAAAAATCAGAGCTGAAATTATTAAAACACAGTAACTGGAAGGTCATCTAAAACACAATGCATAATGGGATACTGTATTTCAAGTAGTAGGTCACTGAGGTATTCTGAGGCTTACAAATGTAGTGTATTTAACAATGTGTGCATACTACAACAACAGCGGTAGCATTTTATTTACTATACAATAATGTATTTTGAATAAAATTTGATGGTGGCGCTAGAGAGTTTGTCAAATTGGCATGATAATTGGTACAAGAGAAGATAAAACTATCCACTACAAGTGTGTCAAATTTCAGAACATTTCACCACATGGTTTTGGAGAAAGCCAGAAAGTAATGCTGTGAAGATGTTAGCATTTGGGTCCAGCTTAAAAAAGTAGTATATTATACACGGTGTACATACTACAACAATAACAGTAGCATTTTATTTACTATACAATTATACTTTATATATAAATGATAGTAAAAATCAGAGCTGAAATTATTAAAACACAGTAACTGGAAGGTCATCTAAAACACAATGCGTAGTGGGATACTTATATTTCAAGTAGTAGGTCACTGAGGTATTCTGAGGCTTACAAATGTAGTATATTAAACACTCTGTGCATACTACAACAACAGCAGTAGCATTTTATTTACTATACAATAATGTATTTTGAATAAAATTTGATGGTGGCGCTAGAGAGTTTGTCAAATTGGCATGATAATTGGTACAAGAGAAGATAAAACTATCCACTACAAGTGTGTCAAATTTCAGAACATTTCACCACATGGTTTTGGAGAAAGCCAGAAAGTAATGCTGTGAAGTTATTGGCGTTTGGTTCCAGCTTACCAAAGTAGTATATTATACACGGTGTACAATATAAACTATAAAAATAGCAGTAGCATTTTATTTACTATACACTTATGTATTATATATAAAATGATGTTAAAAATCAGAGCTGAAATTATTAAAACACAGTAACTGGAAGGTCATCTAAAACACAATGCATTGTGGGATACTGTATTTCAAGTAGTAGGTCACTGTGGTATTCTGAGGCTTACAAAAGTAGTATATTAAACACTGTGTGCATACTACAACAACAGGAGCAGCATTTTGTTTACTTTAAAATGATGTATTATGCATAAAATTCGATGGTGGCGCTAGAGAGTTTGGCAAATTGGCATGATAATTGGTACAAGAGAAGATAAAACTATCCACTACAAGTGTGTCAAATTTCAGAACATTTCACCACATGGTTTTGGAGAAAGCCAGAAAATAATGCTGTGAAGATGTTGGCGTTTGGTTCCAGCTTTGAGTTTAATGAACAAATGCAGCTGATGGAAATGAACGGAGAAATGTTAGACGATCATGAAAGAACGATGTTTGTTCAAAGAGCTGAGATTAGCAGAAGAGAAAAACGAGACGGAAAGCAAAAGAGAAACGGAGATATAGAAGACGACAGCAGGAGGGAGGAAAAACTCACCGGTGCAAACAGTTGGATCTAAAGCGGATCCGTATGAAGTACAAAAACAGAACAAGAGAAGAGCAGACAAATGTTTACTACCACTGCTCATAACAACAACAACAGCACACCAATGAATCTGAATTAACCATGGTGACGACAAAGACGAACAAACGTTTGGTTTGAAGGTCATGTTTAAAAATACTTTGCACTTAACTTCAGGGATATGCAAATAATTGAAAATTTCTACCAGTACCTAGTTTAAAAGTGTGTCTGATAAATACTCTCGCGCTGAATTTCAAAACAATGCAATCCAAAGCATTCAAACATGACTGAAACAGGCACGAAATGAAACTAAGACAATCAAAACACCATGCAGAAACTAGTTTTTTTTTTATTAAGGGGAGATTGAGAGGAAAGATGGTGAAACTATCTTTTAGCATCTCTGTAAACCTAGCACAACTGACATCTTGAAACACAGACACAGAAGTGAACGTTGTATGACGATGATTAGTGCATGTGTGGTGAGTCATAAAACAACAATGCCCATCAACAAAAGCTCAGTTCCACCATCTTGAACAAAAGCAACTCCAGCATCTCAGAAATGGAAGAAAGCTTGAAAAAGTGAAGCTCATAAGAGATGCGAACAGGACAGAGACTCACCTGGTTGTATTTGGCATTGGCCACATGTTTAGTCTCCATCTTTCCATACTGAGGAGGCTTACAGGAGAACTCCACAAACAGCAGGAGCTGCTCAAAGATGGCAGGATACATCACTTGGAGATTCTCCGAACTCACACAAATTGCCTGGAAGAATGACAATTTCAGACAATCAGAAAGAGAAAGAGTCCACACAAAACAACTGACTTGTGTTCACATACAAACAACCATGAAAAAGCCCCAAACCCTGAGTTTGGTGGGAAAACTAAGATCGGGAATAAATGAATGAGTTGCTGATTGATCGATTCCTGATTAGCAGTGTAAATATTAGAGCTGCGGCCAGAGGTGGGAGCAAGTCAAACATGTGCAAGTCTCAAGCAAGTCAAGTCAGGGCTCGAAATTAACTTTTTTACTTGGTAGCACCGCTGCTCCTAACTTCAAATATTTAGGAGCACCAAAAAATTTTTAGGAGCACCAGAAAAAATTTAGGAGCACCCACCAAAAATGAATGAGCACAGCTGCAAATTGTTTTTAAGGGATTTATTGTATTTTAAAACAACATTAATAGGACTGACAAAAACCAGAAACAACTATCTAACTAATGCTGCGAAGACATTGATATTTGTGTGCAATAATTCCAAAATGAATGTCTAATAATTAGGCCATAGAATATTAATGATGTAAAAAAATGACAATAATAGTAATGAATTCCATTTCTCATTATGATACTGCCTTGAATGTGCATGAATGTAGGTTATCTGCTATAAAAAGTCTGTTACTTTATGAAAAAATATTGTATAGTTTGCATCAAACAAAAATGAAGCATTGCAGTAAGAAATATTAATTTTGTACAGCTGTTTATATATGCATGTCAATTTAATAAATAATATTTCTGCTACAAAACAAACAAAAGATTATAATAAATCATTCAATTCAATGATGAAAGCTGCAACTTTAGGTGGGGTTTGCAAACCTGCGTGCTTTAAGTTTTTACTCTTCAGCCGTTTGCATTTCCTGTGGTCATAAAAGCTCCTTCCCTGTCATCTGACAGCGGAATACCTTGAGTGATTGACGGCTTATATAAACCAATATAGCGGCAGGGAAGAGCGATTCAGCACGTTTTTACAAAAAATCTAAACAGGTCGCACTACAACCATTATCTGCAGTCGCACTAATGCGGCCAAATATATTAGGAGGTCGCATAGATTAATTTTCGGGCGCATATGCGACCAAAATGGTCGCAATTTCGAGCCCTGCAAGTCAATTTTTTTCAGACTCAAGTCAAGTCGAGTCACTGCTTATCTCAATTTAAGTCGTAGCTTGCTCTAGCAAGTCACTTTAAAGTCAATCAAATTTTTGCTGATTTATTAATTTTTTTACTTTTGCAATTTCGTCTGCAATGTACATGTATAACTTTTGGTTTTGTATGTAATGCATAATATTTAACAAACGGATATTTATTTAACAAAAACAAGTTATTTCGAGTCATTTAACTCAAGCCCAAGTCAAGCCTCAAGTCATGACAGTCGAGTCCAAGTCAAGCCGAGTCTTTTTTTGGATATTTGTCAAGCAGGTCTCAAGTCTTAAAATTTGCAACTTAAGTCTGACTCAAGTCAAGTCATGTGACTCGAGTCCCCCATCTCTGGTTGCGGAAAATTTGATTCTGAGGTTAGTTTTTAAACCATCAGATGGAGATGTTTGCTTTATAAACAATCAGACTATACTAGCATCTAAACACCACTTAAACCTAAATTAATAATAAAAAAAGTTAGGAAAGGTTTAAGCGAATTACAAGATTCTGTAGTGAGCTGTATTTACATTAATCTAATGACAAAGCCTTACTAAACCTTACTTACGTGAAGAAACCTTACTAATCATGAAGATTTTTCTTCAGCTTTTTTTCTTCAGCTTTTAATACAATTTATCCTCATATTTTAATCCAGAGACTTTTAGATCATTTTCAACTAAGCAACAATTGCTTAGCTGGATTTGAGACTTTTTAACCAACAGAACACAAAGAGTGCGAATAAACAGTTCCCTGTCTGAAAGCCTGGATCACCTCAGGGGTGTGTGTTATCCCCACTTTTATTTATTCTGTACACAGACATGTGTCAGAGCACATTTGAAAATCATTTCATTTTAAAACACGCAGACGACACTGTGATTGTAAGCCTCCTGCAAGGAGAGGAAAACAGTCATGGTCCCATGATAGTGGATCATTTTGTTCAGTGGTGTGAGGAGTCAAATCTAAAACTTAATGCAACAAAAACTAAGAATATGATTATTGATTTTAGAAGGAGTCATACAGCAGCTGAGGTCAGGGGTCAAAAAGTAGAATGGTTGGAGAACTACAAATATTTGAGTACCATTATTGACCGATAGAGGTGTGAACCTATACTGGTCTCACGGTTCGGTTTGGTTACGATTATCATGCCATCAATTCGGTTCAATTCGATATCTCGGTGCATCACGGTGCATTGACGATGCTTTCCATATATAGTGTTATATTTTAGGGGGGAGGCTATAACATGCTGTCTGTATAAACAGACACACAGCAACACACTGTCTCATATTCAAACACATACACAAACATAGACAGCATCAAACAAACAAACACCCACACGCACACACACAAACAAACACACTTAAGCCCTTGCAACAGGGAGAGCTCGCGCTGAGTGGAGCAGAAAAACGAAAAAAAAAAAAAGCAGTGCTCAACATGTCGAGCGAAAAAAAGAAAGACAGCTGTGAAACATAACCAGCTTTGTCTTTCTGTAGGAAACACACTTTAGATCTTTTTAGGGTAAGGGGTTTTTGAGTTATTGCCGTCTATAACTGAATGTGTGTCAGGAAAATCGAAAACAAAACCAACTGAAGCGCGCTCATTTCTGGCACCCACTGGATATACAGCGCCCTTAGCATTTGCCTATGGTGCCTATGCCACGGGCCGGCCCTGAGTTGGCTGAGTGTTGTAAATACCGGCGCTCACCTCCCTCATGACAGAGCGCATAGGAGATAAATGACGTCAGTACATAATAACCGGTTATGGTTATTACTGAATCGATACCGAATTGTCCGCGTCTGCATCGCGGTGCACCGAAAATACAGTTAATTTTGACACCCCTATTGACCGATCTTTAAACTCTGAGGCAAACTGTGATGCTGTATGCAAGAAGGGGCATCAGCGCCTATATTGTCTAAGGAAACTATCACGTTTTCACATTATCCCCAATATGCACATATTTTTTGTTTGTTATCGTGCTTTCATTGAGTATTCTATCCTTCGCTATGGTGGCTTGGTTTGGAGGTCTGTCTCTCAAAAGCTCTCTCTAGCTGAGCCAGGTTGTTAGGTGGTCTAGCAGGTTGATTGGCGAATCACAGCTGAGTACTGAATCTCTGTATAGTAGGCAGCTTTTATGGATTGCCCAGAACATTAGTAGCTATAGCTCTCATCCTCTGTCTGAGGAGTTTATCCTGCTCCCTTCGGGTTGAAGGTTTTGGATGCTTTTTAGTGGGACTAAACGATTTAGGAATAGCTTTATCCCATCATCTACTGTTGCTCTGAATAAATTGTAATCTTTTATAAGGAACTTTGCATGTGTATATGCAGGTGTGTATCCGTGTGATTTAACTGTATCAAATGCCAAAAAGAATCTACCTACGGGTACTAATAAAGCCAACTAACTTACATGACCGAAAGCACAAGCGCTCTTCCTCACGAGCATTTAAAAGCTTGTCTAGAGCTCTGTCTGCTGTTAAAAACTAGTCTAGTGCCCCGTCTGCAGTAAAAAGAAAAGCCAAGCTTCGATTTGAGAGAGAATAGCAATGCATTTAGAGGATCTAAGAATCTATGCAGAACTGATAACATTTTAATTAGCCACAAATTTATCTAGGTCCAACCTAACAACTATCATCAAAGTCTGAAATCAACCTCAAACAGTGCAGTGAACACACATATTCTGAAAGTGCTGTACCTTCTGCAGGACATCAAGTGCGGTCAGGACTGCCTCCTGCAGGCTGGTGAGCACTGCTTCAGTGTAGGAAGGCAAGATAAATGGTGAGGAGTCCGAGCTTATGGGGACCGACACGGCTCCGTGCAGAATCACCCCCAACTTCTTGAGATCCTCCATACTGAAGCCTCCTGCAATGTGCTGGTAGAGTGCTGGGAAAATCTGTATTAGTGCCGTGAGGAAAGGCTGACTTGGTACAAACACTAGTTTATCGGTTCCGCCACTAGGCGGCCGTGTGCACTCAGTTCCTACTCGGTACCAAGTGTTCCACGCTGACCACCAGAGGGCCGAGTCGTCCAGCTCCTCTCCAGGTGGCGGAAGTGAAGGTTGTGCAGCGTAGCGTTGGGCTAAACGCTCAGCAAGAGAATCAGATCTGACTAGAGGTCTTCCTGGTCCAGATCCTTGAAGAGACTCCATAAGCACAGAAGGAACGTCTATAGCAGAGAGAGCGTCAGGTTTATCCGTGTCTTTAATTGGTGTGACTAGTTGGAGGATCTCCTGGAAGCTCTTAAGGGCTGCTAGGGAAACTTCATTGTTCTTGCTGAGGGCAGCAGATTGAATGTGGTCCAACAGAACTTCCCAAGCCTTGAAAAAGTCACCTGAAACAGGAACATGACTTTTAGAAGCAAATCCTGAGATTTGTCGATGTAAGCCACTTTTCTTAATGCTTACCAAGCTGCTGGAGCAGGTATCTCCTGGTGTTGAAGATGCGCGCTACGCCCGCAAGTGTCAGAACCCATGTTTCTGCCCACTGCTTCTCTGCCGTATCTCGCGAGTGGTGGATGAGGATGTTCCCACCTCCAGATTCAATCTTTTCTTTGTCAGCCGTGGTGGAGGACTTCCTTACACAGTCCAGAAGATGAAACAGAACCTGCGGAGCAACATTACTGGGTTTTGGTCTTTAGAAACAATAACTAATCAGTGGGTTTAATCTGGATAATAGTCAAATCTGTAGGTGGGTTTAATTTTGTCATGTGTCAAGTTGCAACCAGCAAAGCATATTGAGCCATGATCAAGTCTGATTTGGGAAAGTAATTTTAACTGTAACTGGATTAAATCTGATCAAACAAAGCAATGTTAATTTAGTCACCAGTCAAGCCTGATCCAAAAGAAGCTATTTTACTTAAGCTAGGTTTAATTACATCTCGTGTCAAGTCTGATCCTAGAAAGGAATTGAATTAGAAGTAGGCCTAATTTGATCAACGATCAAACCTCATTCAGTAAAGCAATTCTGACTACTTTACTTTGGTCCCCAGTGAAATCTAATCCAACAAAGCATTTTCACCATGTGTTTAACTTATTCTCTAGTCACCTATGATCCAGCAAAGCAATTTGAACTAGAAATGAGTTTCAAGAGTTCACACTTAGCTGATGATTGATTTTAAGCAAGTTTGGCATGCTGTCCCGGGAGAGAGCCATGAGCTCAAAAGGTCGTTGAGCCCTGGGCTCCCTCTCGTTTGCAGGGCGAGAGGGGAGCCTTGAGCTCAGGTAGATCTCGACAACTCTCCCTTGATAAGATCTGATGACTAAAATTGAATGCTATGAAGAGAGATCTGCTGCAGGATGACAGATTGACTGTCGTGTTGAATTTAGATTGATCAACTCACTTGTGGGAGGAAACCAGAGGACCCGGGGAAAACCCACGTGAGCAGAGGAAGAACATGCAAACTACGCACAGAAACGACCACAGGCCTGTTAAAGGACTAGAACCGGTGACGTTCTTGCTGTGAGGCGACAGTGCTAATCACTGGGCCACCGTGCCGCCCTATGGAGGGAAAGGTGAAGAGGTCGGGGTGGAAGGGGGGATTCTTCAAATCGAAGATGACTGTAGTGAGAAACCCTGGCTCTTTATAGTGGGTTAGGACTGGCCTGATTGGTGGATCATCCATGCTAATGCAGAACCAGCCGTGTTCAATCATAATCACGTGATCCTCTCGAAATTAGTTCATGACTGAACTTCACTTAAGTTGGCCCATGCGTGAGTAGGGTCCAACATAGCAATTCTGACAAGAACTAGGGATCCCCAATGGAATCTGATACAACAAAGCATTTCCAACCTCAATGAATTTAGTTCTGCAGTTAAGTCTAGTCCAACATTCAATTGTAAGTCTGATCTAAACAATTGCAATATAACTACAACTAAGCTTAATTTGGTTCACGCCCAGGTCCAATACCTTCCAAACAACAATGTTCCAAGTTGGTGGTTGCAGCAGCGTTCCATGAGCAGCGATGGTGGAGAACATTGTCTGGCCGGCGCTCTTCCTCACAGCTGGCCGTGGGTCCACACACAACTCGCCCAGCTTGGCATACAGGCACAACCATAGGCAGTCAAAAGGTGGCGCTGGGTGAAAGGGTCGGTTCAGAGGTTCACCTTTATCTTGGGCCTGTTTCAAGAGAACTGCTTCCTCCTTGTCCAGCTCTTCTGTAATGGCTTCTCCCCTTTGGAAAAAGTAGTCTGAGATGTTCCACTACAGTGGAGAAAAGAAAGATGGTTAGTTTATCCACTTCAACACATACAGTGTTGGGTAAAACAGTAATATATTACAAATTTAAGCGTATCCTATATTGAAAATGCTAATGCTAAAATAACATAACCCTTAGTTTCCAACTGCTTGCCTTAAAAAGTAACTAAGTGACACATCAACTTAAGATTGTAATATATTACACAGGATCCATATATCCAACTAGAACTTCACTTGTCTGCAAGAATGCTCAGAACCACATTTGACATAGCCGTCAGCATCACGCTAAGCAACATCAGCAGTGCTTCTCACCAGCAGGCCGATAGACGTCAGGCTGATATTAAGCTCCTGGTTCTGGAGCCCAAAGCTTCCGGCTACATCCACCACAATTTGTAGGCACATGCAAGGCATTGTGGGCAAGAAGTCGGTCACTACTAACTGCAGGCACTGGAAGGCTGTTCGTATGAGGGATTCACTGAGGAACAAAGATGTGTTTAGTAAAACTGAGACACTCCAAGTTCAACATTTAAAGTGCAGTTTTTGGATGCTATTTATTAGCTAGTAAATCATGAAGACTTCCTTGGTCAAACAGCTTCAAAAGATATGACAGTTGTCAAGCACCATACAGGACTAACTTCCCAAACAGATGAAAATGGAAAGTCTTGCTTGTCTTAAGTAAGTAAATTTATTTTGGTGAATTTAAGATTAAGACCCTTAGATATTTCAATAAGCGTCCACACCTTTGTCAATGAAAACAATTCCAAGCAAATCCCAAACTGGTCAACGTTGCTTGTCAATAAGATCACCCTTTAAGAAGTGAATGCATCTCACCCCTGGTCATTGCGGATCGCCCCAATAACCCCCAGAACCAGAGGCCATCCCGGTCCCAGACTGTCTCCCTGGTTCTGTAGGATCTGCAGGACACACTCCAGCTGTTTCTGTCGGATGTCAGCATGAAGGACATTCGAGAGCTCCTTCAGCGGGTTTAGAAGGAGCAACTGCAGCCTCTGAGGTGGAAATACACATGCAGTCCAATCAATAACCAAACTCAAATTTGAAAGCAGCATTGGTTTTGGACTATCTGACTGAACTGCTACCTGGTTTTGGGACAGCGGAGGATCATGCTTGTAGGAAAGTCCTGCTTTGATCAGCGAGGTGATGGCCTCTGCACCCCACTCCCTCATACGAGCATTAGGATGCTGACACACCTGACAGAATAATAGAAAAGTAGGCTTCATGTTCTTATGCAATATATCATTTTCTGAATATTTTCTTTTGATTTTGTGGTAAAATATGATTCAGACAACGAAATTTCAACAATATGGACAAAGAAGACACAAATCAAACATTACAAATAGTGCGAGATGATCCACGGATAGACGAAATAACACCATTAACACAAAAAGCAAAGCAAATCAGCTTTTAAAATAACACGTTAAAGCAACAATAAATTTAAAAAGATATATATATTTTTGTAGATTATAAAAACATGCACCACAAAAGGAGATGATTAAATGATTTAGGTAATGTGATAATCTGGAATCACAGAGGTTCACATTATTTTTGTGTCAATATTTCACAATGCACTAAATTCAATGGAGGAAAGTGTTCAGCAACTCTAATCCCAATTGCAAAACCAGCCTGAAACTTAATTTTAACCCCAATTCCAATGGGGCTCCAATCCAAATTCTAACAACAACAACTCCTATTCAAATTCTATCCCCATCTCAACACCTATCCCAATTCTATACCCAATCCCATACCTCACTCTGATCCCAATTCTTAACACGAACTCCAGTCAAAACTCAAACCCCAATTTCAACCCCAAGTCCAGACTAAACTTGATCTCTAATGGATTAATAAAGGGACTAAGCCGACAAGAAAATGAATGAATGAATGAAAACTTTTAGTTCTAACCTTGATTCCAGTCCAAAATCTAAACCCAATCCCAATTTCAACCACAATTCCAGCCAAAACTCTAACCTAAACCTCAATTTCAGATCTTACCTCAAGTACAGTCCTAACTCTAACCCAAATCCCAATTTAAATTCTAACCTCAATTCCAGTCCAAACTCTAACCCAATCCCAATTTCAGATCTAACCCTAATTCCAGTCCAAACTCTAACCCAATCCCAATTTCATTTCTAAACCCAATTCCAATCCAACCTCTATCCCAATCCCAATTTCAGATCCAACCCTAATTCCAGTCCAAACTTAAACCCCAATCCCAATTTAAATTCTAACCTCAATTCCAATCCAACCTCTATTCCAATCCCAATTTCAGATCTAACCCTAATTCCAGTCCAAACTCTAACCATAACCCCAATTTAAATTCTAACCTCAATCCCAGTCCAAACTCTAAACCAGGGGTCACCAATCTCGGTCCTGGAGGGCCGGTGTCCCAGCAGGTTTTTAGCTCCAACTTGCCTCAACACACCTGCCAGGGTGTTTCAAGTATACCTTGTAAAACCTTAATTAGCATATTCAGGTGTGTTTGATTAGGGTTGGAGCTAAAATCTGCAGAACACCGGCCCTCCAGGAACAAGTTTGGTGACCCCTGCTCGAAACCAATCCCAATTTCAGTTCTAAAACCAATTTCCAGTCCAAACTCTAACCCCAATCCTAATTTCAACTCTAACTCCATTCTCAAATCCAATTCCAAATCTAATCCCGATCCTAACACCAATCACAACTCTAGCCTCAACACCAACACTAATGCCAATCCTAGTCCAAACTCTAAACACATTTCCAATCTCATCCCCAAACCCAATCCTAAATTCAACCCCAATTCCAACTCTAATCTCATCCCCAAACCCAATCCTAGCTGATCTTCTTTTTTAGAAGAGCTACAAATACCACAGAGGTTCAGAAGCTGAGCAACAGTGCTGTAGGCATAAAAATTAATTGAGAAAAAGAATCTCAAATAAAACAGACATTTCCAAGGCGCTTGTGTTGAAGCCCTGATGCAAGTCCTGTGAAAGAAACTTGTGCGACAACAACAACAAAAATGCATGAAATAAAAAAGGGGGCCGATTTATTTTAGAAAACATTAAAGAAACGTGAAAAGTTCTAACTTCAACCCCAATCCCAATTTCAGTTCTAACCTTAAATCCAGTCCAAACTTCAACCCCAATCCCAATTTCAGTTCTAACCTTAAATCCAGTCCAAACTTCAACCCCAATCCCAATTTCAGTTCTAACCTTAAATCCAGTCCAAACTTCAACCCCAATCCCAATTTCAGTTCTAACCTTAAATCCAGTCCAAACTTCAACCCCAATCCCAATTTCAGTTCTAACCTTAAATCCAGTCCAAACTTCAACCCCAATCCCAATTTCAGTTCTAACCTTAAATCCAGTCCAAACTTCAACCCCAATCCCAATTTCAGTTCTAACCTTAAATCCAGTCCAAACTTCAACCCCAATCCCAATTTCAGTTCTAACCTTAAATCCAGTCCAAACTTCAACCCCAATCCCAATTTCAGTTCTAACCTTAAATCCAGTCCAAACTTCAACCCCAATCCCAATTTCAGTTCTAACCTTAAATCCAGTCCAAACTTCAACCCCAATTTCAATTCAAACTGCATTCTCAAGCCCAATTCCAAATCTAATCCTGAAGAAACTTGTGCGACAACAACAACAAAAATGCATGAAATAAAAAAGGGGGCCGATTTATTTTCGAAAACATTAAAGAAACGTGAAAAGAGATGATTTCATAAACACCAGGCAATGACAGACCGACTGAAACATAAGCATTCCTCGAAAGGAATTTCTGAAGTGAAAAAGAAAGCACTTACCTTCTATAAATCAGACATGTTGCAAGAAACGGAAGAGAAAAAGATGGAACAATCCAATATGAGGACACGAGTCGTACTTTAGCATTTATACAACCACAGAAAAAATGTGAGTACAGCTGACAGAGACAGCAGGTAAAGACAGGAAGGATCAAAGTGGACCAAAACTGTCAAATTAATACTGTCTAACTATTAACACCATCTACAATAAAAGTTTGTGTTTACATAATATATGTGCGAGTAGACTGTATATTTATGTTCAGCTTGATGCATGAGCCTGTTTTGTTTTGCTTCTGCATGCTCTTGATCTCTCTGTCAATTCTTTTAGGATCGCCCCTCTGTGACGTCACCACCTTCGCTGCCAATCAGGAAGGTAGCCCGAAGTTTAAAGGGAAATGAGTGTAGAAGCTCGTTCTCTTGCTTTTGTCTTGCTTGCCTTTCTGCTCTGTTTGTGTGTTTTTGGCTTGTGTTATGTGGTATTATGTTGATTTGACTTGAGAGATTGATTTTGCTGTGGTACGCTGTCACCGTTCAGTAAATGCTTGTTTAATGATCCCTGAACATCAGTTTCTGAATTTCCCGGGGAATCATGGAGTTTAGGCATCATGTGGCATACATCTCATAGAAAACTCCACTGTCTTAAGGCTGATTTATACTTCTACATCAAGCGCATGTGTATGGTCCGGCGCAGCCTACGTGTGGTCGCATAGCCCTCACCGTGGCCGTCGCTGACGAAACAATTTATTATGTATATATATATATATATATATAAATATATTATGTATATATAAACAAACACACACACACACATGCACGTATATAATTTAACAACATGTTTGTTTATATTAATTTAATAGATATTCAAAATATATATTTTTATTTATTTAAATTATATATTTAATGTTTTTGTTTAGTTTTTTGTATTTTACATATGTATTTACATATACATAATAAATATACACCATACACATATTATGTAAATCAAAAACATAACTTAACTAATATTAGTAATATTCAAGCAATATTAGTGGTATTTTAAGCTATATTAGCAGTAATTAGAGTATACAGAAACACATGTTAAACTGCATGAAAAAATAAACGGCATAATCTAAATAAAATAAATAAACACCATAAGCTGAATATAAAAAAAAAACAATCTAAACTAAAAAATAAATAAACTGCATTATATAAATAAAATAAATAAACTGCATTATATAAATAAAATAAATAAACTGCATTAGATAAATAAAATAAATAAACTGCATTAGATAAATAAAATAAATAAACTGCATTAGATAAATAAAATAAATAAACTGCATTAGATAAATAAAATAAATAAACTGCATTAGATAAATAAAATAAATAAACTGCATTATATAAATAAAATAAATAAACTGCATTAGATAAATAAAATAAATAAACTGCATTATATAAATAAAATAAATAAACTGCATTAGATAAATAAAATAAATAAACTGCATTAGATAAATAAAATAAATAAACTGCATTAGATAAATAAAATAAATAAACTGCATTAGATAAATAAAATAAATAAACTGCATTAGATAAATAAAATAAATAAACTGCATTATATAAATAAAATAAATAAACTGCATTAGATAAATAAAATAAATAAACTGCATTATATAAATAAAATAAATAAACTGCATTAGATAAATAAAATAAATAAACTGCATTAGATAAATAAAATAAATAAACTGCATTAGATAAATAAAATAAATAAACAGCAGAAGCTTAATGTTACGCCATAAACGTATAAAGTATAAGTAGAGTATAAAGAAAAAACTAAACTATGACCAATGTTATTTTTATCATATAAATGTGTGTCTTTTATTTTTAGATCTGGCATCTGGTCTCACCTCCAGTAAATGAGCGGTCAGGGGCCTCCAGAGGATCTCGATGCGGTCCATATTGACCAGTCCAGTCTCCAAGAGTTTGGCCACCGCAAACAGGGATGGTTCCTGAGTGCCAGATGCGAGACATAAATGTTATAAACTAAACATGCACTGATCTGAAGCATATGAAGAGCTGATGAAGGACTCACCTTGTTGGTGCCGTAAGCCATTTCCATCGCCTCCATTGACAAAGAGCACAGCGCGTTTATCAGGTGATGCAGAGAGACGTCGTCTAAATACCTAAACACACACACAATATATGATTCCACTTTTGTAAAACACATGTAAAACAGTTTCATATAAATATAAAATTTAATATGAAAAGTGTTGAATAATCAGAACAAATTAAATCAATTAAGCTGAATTATTTCTATTTCTTCTTATTAAAAAAGTAACACTATTAATCATGTTTTACTGTAGAAAATAATATTGTTATTTATTTTATTATTATTATTATGCTTAACAATTTTACTTTATACAGAACAATGAAATTGCTAATTTAATGTCTTGATTTCTTCACTTAGAAATCAGCAGATTAGATTAAAATAATTTGTGAAAATGTATTTTTAGAATTTATTTCAACAACCAAATTTATTTCATACTACATAAAAAAAGAGAACTCTGTTATTCTGTCCTCCCTTTTCTCCTAATAAAGAAATATGTAACTTCATCATTAATAATAACATACGGTATTTAAAATAATATAATATTAATATAATATAATAATAATAATATTAAAATATTTTAAACAGTAATAGCAATGAGAATATCACTATATTCAATTTAATATAATTAGTAAAGCATATGAATGCAGAATTATTGCGATGTTTGGTCTTACTGTGAGCTTTCAAAGAGTCTGGAGAGGATGTTTGATATGACGGGCAGATCAGTCATCACCGCTGTGGTCAAAACCTGCAGACAGACAGTAAAACAAACACCACCATTAACATTTTACACTACTGCACATGACACAAACTACTTTTGTTCCTCTTTTGGAGACGCCCTGCACATCTAGAACACATTAAGGCCACAATAGGCTTGTTTCAGGTCAGACGGGTCTTTAAAGGCTTAAAATGTCTTAAAAAGTCATAAATTGACAGAAATATTGCTCTTAAAGTCTTAAATCATTTTAAACAGGTCTTAATTTTCCTTTGTCCATGTAAAGCTACCCAACCGGGCCAACACACGTTCAACAATCCAGTCCAAATTCTACCCCGATCTCAATTTCAGTTCTAACCTTAAATCCAGTCCAAACTTCAACCCCAATTTCAATTCAAACTGCATTCTCAAGCCCAATTCCAAATCTAATCCTGATCCCAACACCAATCACAACTCTAACCCCAATCCCAACACTAATGCCAATAACATTCGTTTAAAAGCCTGCATGCATTCATGGAGCACATTTGGTGAGGACACTGACCTGGACACACTGTTGTGCATAGCTGTTTATTATAGTTTTTAACACTTTTAGAAAGAGATATTAAGTTGAAAATCATGTATAAAACTTGCTTGTTTTGGCGCAGTATTTAAAGTATTTAATATATGTAGACATATAGGCAAGTAAAAATCTTTTTCATTGGGGAAAATTCCTCAGTGTTTATCCCTGTATAAGTCTGAAATTTCATTCATAATGGTCTTATAATGTCTTCCAGGGTTTCTGCGGGTCAAATTGGAGCATTAGTGTGTTTGACAGAACAAAACCGCAGCTGATTCAGAATATGAAAATGGAGATTTGTTCGGTAGCTAGCTTTACCGTGCTGGGACCCTCCACGGCCCGTCCGGGTTTCAGGACTCCACCGGGAGCCGGTTTCAGTCCCAGAATCCACACCAGATGCTGACGGAGACAGAGAAGAAGACAACTCATGATCAGATCACAAACAAACAAACGAGAAAAAAAAAAGCGTTAAAGTGATAGTTCAGGCAAAAATCAAAACTCTGTCATCATTTATTTATTTAGGTTTTAATGACATATCAGCAGCATTGGCTATATTCATGGCAAAAATATATACTAATAAATATACAGAATATAATCAAATCAGTGTCTTAATAAACATACATTGTAAAAAAACAAGTATACAAGCATCAACAACACTCAGAGTCATATACAATATTTTAGTTTGATTAAAGATAAATAGTCTGAAAGTGCTCCTTTTAAACATTTCACATAAAATATTTCCCGAATAAAAACGTTCTCTAACATCATTTAAACATACACATTCTATTTAAATAGTATTTATCGTCAGAATAATCTTAGCCACAAACAGGTCTTTCTTTCCCTTTCAGTAAATCTGCGTGAGTAAGTCTCGAGTGTCCAATTCTGCAAGTTCTGTGATCCTTTACTCGCCCTTTACTTGTTTTTGAGATTCTTTATTCTGTTGAACACAAAAGAAGATATTTTGAAAAATGTTATATCCATTGACTTCCATAGTATTTGTTTTTTACTATGGTAGTCAGTGCAGTGCTTACAGGATTTCTGCTTTTGTGTTCAACACAATAAAGAAACTCTTAAAGATCTGAAGCAACTCGATGGAGAGTAAATAATGAGCACATTGTAATTTCTGGGTGAACTGTCCCTTTAAGCTTTAACTTGGCTTATACAACTCAAAATGTCCTACTTTTTTGCACAGTTTTAATTTTGTCTGTTTCAAAACTTGAAGAAGACCTATTAATCCCCTTTTTACAAGATGTTAAATGTGTCTGTGATGTCTCTAGAGTAGGGGTGCCCAAACTTTTATATGAAGGGCCAAAAACCAAAGATCATTGAGAGGCGTGGGCTGAAAATTCATTGATTAATGTTTACAAATAAATTGAAAACATTACATTAAATCATATTAATTAATGCAGTTTACATTTAAATGCTAACTTATCATAATAAAAAACAAACAATTCATAACACAGTGGAGTTCAATGCTAAATGCACTAGTTAAGCAGGATCTGCCTTTGCCTTCATTTGCTCACTGATGTCTCTGCATTGCCTGTCGGGTGACAGTATGTACATTAAAAAAAAACTGAATTATTTCCAACATTTCATTGAAACATTTTATTTAAGGTTACATTAAATTAGAAATCACCGTCTGTAAACCATCCTCATAATTCTCTCTCTCTCTTCTCAGATGGGATGGTGGGTCAAATCAAATGGTTTCCATGGGCCAACTTTGGCTCGAGGGCCCAAGTTTGTTCATCTCTGATGTGTTTAGAGTGTGTAGTGAAGTTTCAGCTTAAAATAGCACACAGATAATGCTTATAACTCTCTGAAACTGACCCTTCAGGTTTTGATCCTAGCGGTGGTGTTTTGGTGACTGTCACTTTAAATGTAAATGAGATTATGCTCTTTTCAGACGAGGGCGGAGCTACAAATGCATGTGTGTCAGCATAGTGGCAGATTCAAAACAGGACTATCGTCCTATGCTAATGAGGGAGAGATAGGCACTAGTGGGCGGGGCTTTCCCCCTCTGATGTCACGTATAAAGGGAGAATGTCAGTGTGTCTGCAGACGGTTTCTATCAAGTCTGATTACAAACAAAACAATTAATGCCATTACAGGCTGGAGATATTCACACACTGCTGACACACAACCGTGTTTAAACCCCTTATAAAGTGATTGCTGCATAATTGGTCCACTTTAAGGCAGTCACAGAGTAAACATACACATGTTGTTGAGTGAATTGTGACTGGATGAGTGCAGATGTACCTGTAGTGTGGCCAACACCAGCTGCCAGGAGGTGCCCAGATGAGCCCCGTGACAGTGAGCCAGATTCAGCAGAGTCCGCATGCACTGGATGTTCTTCGCTGTGAGCTGAACACACACACACACACACACACACACACACACACACACACACACACACACACACACACACACTGAGGTAAGATGATGGATATTTTTAAAAGTGTGTGTATTAGTTTGCTTGAGTGTGTGATTTAGCATGACGGTGGCCTGTGGTTGAGCGCTGAGCAGTGGTGTGTGTGTGTGTGTGTGTGTGTGTGTGTGTGTGTGTGAGTATATATCTGTGATTGTTTGTATCATTTACAATGAAAGAATCTAGCCCTAACCCTAACCATAAATTACTCCCAAAGTCTGAGAGAATTATAGTTTAAGAACAATGATGCAGAAGCACATCACACTGATTGCGTGCCATTACTCAAGCCTTTAATCCTTACATCTTATTGGTTGATTGGACGTGTGTGTGTGTGTGTACAGGTTTAAGTGGTTTACAGGGACACAAATTTGTATAATGACATGGCTGTGACTTATTGGTATGATGCTACATGACACAATATGACTCTATTAATGTGGTTTACAGCGTTACACCTCGAGTCCTCGTAATTCAGAACACACAAAAAAATCTAAATTTGCCACAGGTTTCCTCTGTGGGTTGGGGTAAGGTCATATAATAATCAGTTTTTACAGTATAAAATACATTAAGCCTATGGAGAGTGCCTTAAAAATATCTATACCAAGTGTGTGTGTGTGATTTACCACGACTGTGCCCTGTGGTTGAGCACTGAGCGGTTGACCCACTGCCACCACCTGCTGATGAGACTCGCTGGACGGACTCACCATCTGCACACTCTGACCCTGGATAGAGTACACTAGACACACACACACACACACACATACAGTAAACACAAAACATACTAAACACACATTAAACTATATCTACACACACAAACGGTTTAATTCCTTCAGCTATTATGCTATATTATGTTATATTATATTTAGTGCTGTCAAAATTAGTGCGTTAATGCTGTTGTGGCCGGCGTGTGTTCAACGTCCAGAGAAATATGGATAAGACCAAGGAAGCACTTAGAAGGAAAGTTTCAGTATGAAACAATTAACGTCACATCACAAGGCTGTTGGAATTTGGTACCACATGCCGAATGGAAAGAAAAACCTCCGCACTTCGTGACTCGGGTGGTCCTTTAAGGTAATCAAAAATCACTGTTTACATGGAAGACTCTTAATCAGAGTATTATCTTAATTATATTGAAATCGGAGTGTAAATGTACTCAGTGAAAGTGCCAGATGATGTCGCAAGCTGTCAAAGACAGTCCATTGCTCTGTCATTAAGTTGATTCCATGCGCCCTCCAATGTTTCATTAAGTCTGATGGGTTTCCTCCTTCACACAACTTTTGTAAAGCGTCTGCTTCACGTTGCTGTGTCAGAATCTTTGTGAAATTTAGCCATACTTTAGGAAGCTTAGTTCATTTTAGTAAATTTTAAGAACGCGATCGTACGTATTGATGAATCTGATGAGAATCGCTCACCGGGTGCACTGTACTGTGCACGTTTTTTCGCAGTCCACATAGAAATCATTTTTGTTTGTTATTGGCATTGATTTTGAAATTTAAATAACACTAGCACAGCCCGTGTTTTTATTTCTGTAATAAATATGGCTGTCAAGCCAACTGGATCTTGATGGTTTATTGCGGGTGTGTTGTTTACCTGTAGAAATCGGTGTTACAAGTTGAACAAAAGTTCTGATAAACAATTATATTTTGAATTTAAATCATTTCTTTGTCTTGAGTTTACATTAATTTTACACTTGAATAGCCAAAATGACAAGTTTCAGACTTTTAATCGCGATTAATTGCAAAAAAAGTGTGATTAATTATATTATATTATATTATATTATATTATATTGTAGTATTTATTATATTATGTTATCAAATTATATCATTTTATATTATATTATATATCATTATATTATATTATATTGCAGTATTTATCATATTATATTATATCATATTATATTATACTATATATCATTCATTCATTCATTTTCTTGTCAGCTTAGTCCCTTTATTAATCCGGGGTCGCCACAGCGGAATGAACCGCCAACTTATCCAGCAAGTTTTTACGCAGTGGATGCCCTTCCAGCCGCAACCCATCTCTGGGAAACATCCACACACACATTCATCGCATGTCTTTGGACTGTGGGGGAAACCGGAGCACCGGGAGGAAACCCATGCGAACGCAGGAAGAACATACAAACTCCACACAGAAACACCAACTGAGCCGAGGTTCGAACCAGCGACCCTCTTGCTGTGAGACGACAGCACTACCTACTGCGCCACTGCCTCGCCCTATATTAGATTATATCATATATTATATTATATCATATTATATTATATATCATATAATATTAAATTATATATTAAAATATATCATATATTATATTATACCATAAATTATTATACTATAAAATAACTCCAATCAATCAGCAGAGTGATATAGAACTGTAATAAACTCAAAACCTGCCAGAACTACTTTCGCTGTGCCCTTATCTGACAATAACCAAACACCTTAGAAAAAACAAAATAAAATCACAATAAATTAAAAAAAAACTAAAACTAACAAGTGCAACTGAACTAAAAGCTAGCAAAAATTAGCAAAAAAGAAATAATATTTTAAAAAAAAATAATCACTCATTTTGTGGCGGATTTTGTTTTGAGAAACACCAGTAGGTGGCGCTTTTACAGCTAAATATTTTCTTTGTATGCTAAAAATATAAACTAGCGATGTTTAACTACGCACATGATCTGTAATACGGAGATGATGTTATTCTTCATAATCAGAACTTTTCTTTGTTTAGGTTGTGTTTAAGTGGTTTTTGCCTCTGTGTTTCTTCTTATTTTAAATCACCAAGAATTAATGTAAGCTGCTCCTCCGCCAATCAGAATCAAGCATTCAGCAGAGCAATGAATAATTTTAAAACGAAGTGTTGCTCGTGACAGTGTTGCTCCTCCTGCTAGTGTTGTGCTGTGTGTTTGTCGTACCCTTGTTAGTGAGGCTGCTGGCGCTGCTGCTGAGGATGGTGAGGGCGTAATGTGGAGGAAGAGATGCTTTACAGACGGCTGTGATGAAGGCGTCCCGAGGCGTCACCAGACCCAGACGACCACACAGAGACGCCATCGACAGCTCCGCCTTCAGGATGTTTTCCGTCGCCGTCTCGTCCGTACTGACACAAACATGACAACAAGAATATATTAGTAAACTAAAACTATTGGTCGAAAACATTTTCCTTAACTGAAATCTCACTTTTTGTAATACTGATGTACAGGTGATCCCACAGCCTTTTTATTTGTAATAAATGTGCAACAACTTCAAAATCTCTTTGTTCACAAAGCCATCATGGGGGATTGTGTGTAGAATGTTGAGGAAATCAATAACTTTGATCAATTTTGGAATAAGGCTGTAGCATAAACAAATGTGGAAAAAGAGAAGCGCTATCAATACTTTCCGAATGCACTGTACATATATGGCTGCAGGTTAACTGTGTTTATATACTGTGTTTGTGCTGACAATCTCATTTGAATTTAAAGCGACAGGCACCAAAACGGCACAATTAGGATCAAAGCCAGAAAAAAGAGTCAGATTCAGAGAGTTATAACATATCTTGTAAATAGGGGCATAAAGGGTCCCCTTTAAAAATATTATTAGATTAAAAAAATTATTTAAAAATGTAAAACTATAATAACCTTACATGACACACCTTCAGTTAAGAATAGCTAAACGTGACAGTACAGAGATTATTAATACAGGTGTGTGTGCTCATACCTGGCGTCCAGCAGCAGAGAAAGAGCCGCTAGTAAACCACACCAGCAGGCGTTCACCATCTCCTGCCAGACCTCAGCAGCCACTGACACACACACACACACACACACACACCCCAATCATTTATAATGCACCACAAAACCATGAAGGCACATCATAAGTTACCATTAAATTACAGCTGAAGTCAAAATTATTAGAGCTCCTGTGGTCTTATAAGTTTATTATAAGATTAAATTGGACTATTATTACATTTCAAATTGGTAAATGTGGCTGCATTTGTATTATACATTTATAATACAATAATAGGCTGCACAGTGGCTCAGTGGTTAGCCCTGCGGCCTCACAGTAAGAAGGTCACTGGTTCAAGTCCTAGCTGGGTCAGTTGGCGTTTCTGTGTGGAGTTTGCATGTTCTCCCTGTGTTGGCGTGGGTTTCCTCCGGGTGCTCCGGTTTTCCCCACAGTCCAAACACATGCGCTATAGGGGAATTGATGAACTTGATTGGCTTTAGTGTATGAGTGTGTGTTTGAATGAGTGTGTATGGGTGTTTCCCAGTGATGGGTTACAACTGGAAGGGCATCCACTGTGTAAAACATACGCTGGATAAGTTGGCAGTTCATTCTGCTGTGGCAACCTCTGATAAATAAGGGATTTATTTAAGCCGAAGGAAACAATACAAAATAAAATTTATTGTATTATGTACTATAATATTCTTGCTAAATGTATTATAGTTAAAATTTAATATTATTTACAACTAAGTATTGAATAAAACTATGTTTAATTATTAGTTCCACATTCTGCAGTTCCCTGAATCACAGCCAGAGGTCATCATTACACAGATATTCTCCAAAATATCCCACATACTGCTACACCCTCCTGTTAATTTCGTTTTCTTTTTTAAATATTGTTGAACAGGTTCAAGAGTTTTTCACAGTATTTTCTATAATGGCTCGTTTCCACAGACTGGTACAGTAGGGTACGGTTCGGGCGGTACGGGTCACCTTTATCAGGCTTGCGTTTCCACTAGCAAGGGTACCCTTTTGGTGGGCGTGGTGTATGACAAAGTTTCAGTCGACGTCATTTTCGCTCGAGAAAATGTCTACAGTAAAGCTGCACAGGGCGTTCAGATATCATATGAAAAGCATTACTTACAAAACAGAGGCTTTACACACATATATACTTGTGTATAAATGTTTATTACTAACTTTTCTATGAACAGGAGTTGTTTATAACTGCAGATCAACGACAGTGTGAAATAGCCTACTGTAACGTCTGTAATTATATTAAATAAATAAATAAATGAACATATATGAACACATACAGCCCCTTACAGTCTCCAATATGTTACCAACTACAGAAGAACTACACACAGCAGACATTTCGGCGTTAATTAGGTTCAAGACAACACAAAGTATAGCCTAGAGTCAGAGCAGACCTCTCATGTGTGTGTGTAATCTTCAACAGCACATGTAAACTCTGTTAGAGAGTCACTCCATCATTCCCAGTTCATATTAGTCCAAAAGGTGATAATAAAGATTAAAACAAGGCAGTTTGTTCACGTTTGCTGAAGAAATAACGTGCTCCTTGGCTTCGCCTTTTTTCCCACGCTCCATTCTCGCGTTTATCCTTTTCTTTCTGAATGTGTCACTCTCGTTTTTCAGTGTCTGTCAGGTTCGGGTTTCCAAAAGCTTGTCAATAATCAAGTGCATGTTATTATCATCAGCTCAAGAAGTTTGTTATTTTAGATAGAGACACGTGGCGAGCGCGAGGAGCGAAACCACTCGGGCTTCAGACTGGCTCGTAAAAAACTACGCGGCACAGGGTGAATCTGCTCTTCTCCATGGCTTTGTGGCTGTTTATCATGACGATGACAGGGTTTGTTAGCAGGATCGACCATGGCTGCATATGTATTTATAATTCGCTGTAATCTCTCGCTGTGTATTTCAAACATGGCGGGTCCTTTGTTTACATTCTGGCTTGTTGCGTCTACGAATGACGTATCTCTGTAAACCAATAGCGTTCAGCTGCGCGTGTAGCTCCACCTTTTGGGACCCTTTCTGCAGTTTGGGACCCTTTCGAAAGGGTCCCGAAAAAGTGGTACGGTATGGTTTGGTTCGGTACGCCTTTTGACAGTGGAAACGGGCCATAATGTTTGTTCTTCTGGAGAAAGTCTTATTTGGTTTATTTCGGCTAGAATAAAAGCAGTTTTTAATTGTTTTAAAGCCATTTTAAGCTCAATATTATTATCCCCCTTACACAATATTAGTTTTGGATTGTCTCCAGAACAAACCACTGTTTTACAATGACTTGCCTAATTACCCTAACTTTACCCTAATTACCCTAGTGAAGCCTTTAAATGTCTCTTTAAGCTGTATAGAAGTGTCTTGAAGAATATCTAGCCTAATATTATTTACTGTCATCATGACAAAGAGAAAATAAATCAGTGATTAGAGATGAGTTATTAACTCTATTATGTGTAGAAATGTGCTGAGACAAATCTTATATACATATATATAATAATATTCATATACAGGGAGGCTTATAATTCAGACTTCAACTTCAACATATAATATTTGTGCAGATGTGTGTGTGTGATGTTTACTCACGGGGCTCCTGGGCAGGAGGTGAAACAGGCTCCTCCTCCTCCCTCATGGCCTCCTGCTGTTCTTGTCTGAGCAGCTCTCTGTCGATCATATTGGTGATTCCTCTGACCAGATCCAGCAGCGCGCTGAAGGCCACAGACATGGCGTAACCCTCAGGGATGGAGGGCGGCTCCACTTTATCCAGCATCTCCAGACTGACAGCAAACACAGATTAGATTGAGAGCTAGCTAATGCTAATAGCTCAATCTAAAGGCCCGGACACATCAAGGCAGTAGTCAGCCAGTGAGTTTTTGCTCTTGCTTGTTTTTTAAAGCCGGCTTGGTGTGTCCAGGTCTAAAGAGATGTTCTCTTACTAGGTGGCTTTGGCGCTGCCCTGTACGCTGACGTTCATGAGGGGGATCCAGGTGCCACGGTACTCAAATGCAGCCTGTGTGGTCAAAGCTCCGCCTGCACCGGTCAAGCCTGGACCTCCCGGACCAGACGCCTGAGAGCTGGACACTGAGCCTCCTGAAAGACACACAGGTACATGAGCAGTTATGTGAAAGGTAAAAACATATTCTTACAGCACAAATCGAGTGGAGAGCCTAATTAAAGACTAAAGATGATATTAGCATTATGGTGCAATATACACTCACCGGCCACTTTATTAGGTACAGCTGCTTGTTAATGAAAATTTCTAATCAGCCAATCACATGGCAGCAGCTTAATGCATTTAGGCATGTAGACATGGTCAAGATGATCTGCTACAGTTCAAACTGAGCATCAGAATGGAGAAGAAAGGGGATTTAAGTGACTTTGGTTGTTGATGTCAGACGGGCTGCTCTGAGTATTTCAGAAACTGCTGATCTACTGGGATTTTCACGCACAACCATCTCTAGGGTTTACAGAGAATGCTCCAGGGGAAATATCCAGTGAGCGGCAGTTCTGTGGGCACAAATGCCTTGTTGATGAGGTCAGAGGAGAATGGCCAGACTGGTTTCAGCTGATAGAAAGGCAACAGTAACTCAAATAAGCACTCGCTACAACCGAGCTCTGCAGAAGAGCATCTCTGAACACACAACACGGCCAACCTTGAGGCGGATGGGCTACAGCAGCAGAAGAGCACACCGGGTGCCGCTCCTGTCAGCTAAGAACAGGAAACTGAGGCTACAATTCACACAGACTCACCAAAACTGCACAATAGAAGATTGGAGAAACGTTGCTGCTCTGATGAGTCTCCATTTCTGCTGACACATTTGGATGCTCGGGTCACAATTTGGCCTCAACAACATGAAAGCATGGATCCATCCTGCCTTGTATCAGCGGTTCAGGCTGGTGGTGGTGGTGTAATGGTGTGGGGGAGATTTTCTTGGCACACTCTGGGTAAATTAGCACCAATTGAGCATCATGTATTGCTGCTGACCATGTCCATCCCTTTATGACCACAGTCATCTTCTGATGGCTACTTTCGGGAGGATAACGCACCATGTCATAAAGCGTGAATCATCTCAGACTGGTCAAATGTCCTCCACTATCTCCAGAGCTCAATCCAATAGAGCAGCTTTGGGATGTGGTGGAACGGGAGATTGGCATCATGGATGTGCAGCCGACAAATCTGCAGCAACTGTGTGATGCTATCATGTCAACATGGAGCAAAATCTCTGAGGAATATCTCCAGTACCCTGTTGAATCTCTGCCATGAAGGATTAAAGCAGTTCTGAAGGCAAAAAGGGTCCAACCTGGTACTAGTAAGGTGTACCTAATAAAGTGGCTGGTGAGTGTATTTTACTTTATATCTTTTTGCTATTGCCTTAATTGGAACAACTACAAAAAAAACAGTGCTGTGCATGCTTGTATGTGTGTGTGTGAATGTGGAAGCCTCTGAGCGTGTGTGTGTGAGACCTGCAGGTGTGCTGGTAGATGAAGTGTTTCCTGCGCTGGGGAGGATGAAGAGTGACTGGATGAAGGAGCCCAGAGCGTTGACGATATCTCTGAAGACTTTAGTGGAGTGTGGCTTCATGTCATACGACTGACAGAAAGAGCTGCAAACGCGCACGCGCACACACGCACACACACACACACACACACACACACACACTCTGGTTAGATTTATGGCAAACCTATGGAAATATAATCAGATCTGCATAATAATAAAGGTCACGCTTTACAATAGTTTCATTAGTTAATGTATGTTAATAACATGAACTAATAATGATCAATACTTGTACAGCATTTATTAATCATAGATTAACATGCACTAATGCATTATTAACATCCACATTCATGCTTGTTGACATGAGTTAATGCACCCTGAGCTAACATCAGCCTATGATCATAAGCTAACATGAACTAAGATGAGCAAATACTGTAATAAATGTGTTGTTCATTGTTTGTTTATGTTAGTAAATGCACTACCTAAAGCAACCTTATTGTAAATGTTACCAGAACAGGAGTGTGTGTTTGTGTGTGTGTATGCGTTTACCGTAGTAAATGTGGCTGAACACACAGTCTGTGCACAGACTCCACAGCCACGGCTCTCAACCACTGCGGCTTCTCTCCATCCAGAAACTTCACCAGCAGAGAGAGGAAGATCTCACACTCTGTTACCTGCGACACACACACACACACACCTGCACAATCAGAGCTGTAGATGCAGAAAACAGCCTTTGCTCAATACGTTGTTGATGCACGTTTGGCAGTGATTACAGCCTCAAGTCTTCTTGAATATGATGAACAAGCTCTGCACAGCTGTCTTTGGGAATTTTGGCCCGTTCCTCTTTGCAGTATCTCTCAAGCTCTATCAGGAAGCGACGGTGTACAGCCATTTTCAGATCTCTCCAGAGATGTTCAATAGGATTTAGGTCTGGGCTCTGGCTGGGCCACTCAATGACATTTCTGAGTTGTTGTGAAGCCGATCTATTGATATTTTGGCGGTGTGCTTTGGGTCATTGTCCTGCCGGAAGATGAAGCGTCGCCCCAGTCTGAGGTGAAGAGCACTCTTGTGCAGGTCTTCATTCAGGATGTCTCTGTACATCGCTGCATTCATCTTTCCCTCTATCCTGACTAGTCTTCCAGTTCCTGTTGCTGAAACACATCCCCACAACATGATGCCAACACCACCATGCTTCACTGTAGGGATGCTGTTAGGCTGGTGATGAGCGCCGCCTGCTGTTCTCCAAACGTAACGCCTGGCGTTCACTCCAAACAGTTCAGTTTGAGTCTCATCAGCTTAGAAAGTTTAGTTTCTGATGCTCTGAGAGTCCTTCAGATGGTAAACTCCAGGCGGGGAGTGTCTTCTTTCTGGCCACTCCACCATACAGGCCTGATTGGTGGATTGCTGCATCGATGGTTGTCCTTCTGTAAGGTTCTGCTCTCTCCACAGAAGAACACTGGAGCTCAGAGAGAGTGACCATCGGGTTATTGATCACCTCCCTGACTAAAGCCTGTCTCCCCCGATCACTCAGATGGCTGGCCAGCTCTAGGAAGAGTCCTGGTGGTTCCAAACATCTTCCACCTACGGATGATGGAGGTCGCTGTGCTCATTGGAACTTTCAGAGCAGCAGAAGTGTTTATGTAATCTTCCCCACCCTTGTGCCTCCAAACTATACTGTCTTGGAGGTCTACAGACGATTCCTTTGTCTTCATGCTTGGTTTGGGCTTTGACATGCACTGTCAACCCTGGGAGCTTATATAGACAGGTGTAGCCTTTAAATCATGTCCAATCAACTGAATGGACCCCAGGTGAACTGCAGTGACGCTGCTCAAACATCTCAAGAATGATCAGTGGAGACAGAATGAACCTGAGGTCGATGTAGAGCTTCTCGGTAAAGGCTGTGAATACTGATGTACATGTGATTTTTCAGCTTTTCATTTGTAATAAATCTGCAACAATTAAAAAAACTCTTTTTTTTCATTGTCATTATGGGGGATTGTGTGTAGAATGTTGAGGAAATGAATGAATTTAATCCATTTTGGAATACGGCTGTCTCATAAACAAATGTGGAAAAAGTGAAGCGCTATCAATACTTTCCAGATGCACTGTACAGCACATTTAGGACTTAAAATCACCCTGGAGTGGATAAAAACGCCCCAACAGCACACATAGGCTTAATAATAATAATGTTTTGAGGTTGTTTTCACACTTAAGTGATAAAGATGGTCATTAATTGTGTTCAGGGCTTTACATTAACACCTAAATGCGGGTAGATTTCCACTTTGGCGGGTTAGACAGACGCCTCCACTAGCCACTTTGGCTGGTTGAAAATAATTTTTAAATGGTAGTTTTCCTAAAAGCAGGGTTCGACAATATAAGGATGACCCAATATGTGTGCAAGTGTGATCTTAGAATCGAGAAGTACAATAATTGTGATCACGCGAGCAGAAGAAAGCAAGAGAATACCGAATGAGGGGATGATGATCACTCGCGCTAACAGCTGATGTGATGCGCGGGACTTCTTCAAACGCGTGCGCGCTCCCGGATCGTGAAGCAACCGTGTCTGAAACAGGTTCTGTAAGCGCAACTGTCATCACTTCTCTTTCAAATAAACTAGACAAAAAGTGATAAACATGCACCCTCAGCAGCGGTTGCTTTCACTTTGAACAGATTATTAAATGGGCTAAAGTTAACCGTGTATGTTTCACCTGCTTTTATTTGCTTTTATTTTTGTTAAAATGGTTTAATTATTATAATTCTTTTTACAACATTGCTTTAATGGGAGATGAACTCTCTATTTATGTGCAGTTAACTGGTGATCTGAGAGATCTTTAGCCACGACAGATTACCGAGCATATTTTAATACATGACAATAGATATTTTTTAAAAGTTTTTTTTTTTTTAAAGAAATGTTTTGTTGAATAAAAAGTATAGTATACAGTTATATTTAGCTTGTTTTGACACATAAAAAATTTGTGGCTAAGAAATAATTATTGTTTAGTGTGGTTATAGAGATAAATGTAGTACATCGTTAATTTTGAGCTCTAAAAAAAAGTCTTGTGGTGATGCAGTAGAGCAGTGGGTAGCTCGTTCGCCTCACAGCAAGAAGGTCGCTGGGTCGCTGGTCAGTTGGCGTTTCTGTGTGGAGTTTGCATGTTCTCCTTGCGTTCGCGTGGGTTTCCTCCAGGTGCTCCGGTTTCCCCCACAGTCCAAAGACATGCGGCACAGGTGAATTGGGTAGGCTAAATTGTCCATAGTGTGTGTGTGTGTGTGTGTGTGTGTGTGTGTGTGTGTGTGTGTGTGTGTGTGTGTATGTGGGGATGTGTGGATGTTTGCGGCTGGAAGGGCATCCGCTGCGTAAAGAAAACTTGCTGGATAAGTTGGCGGTTCTGAATATAACTCTTGTAAAGTTGGCAGTTCATTCCGCTGTGGCGACCCCAGATTAATAAAGGGACTAAGCCGACAAGAAAATGAATGAATAAATGAATGAAAAAAAGTCTTGTGAAATAAAAACTAATTATATAACAATATAACACTATGAAACCATGACCCATTTGCTCATGCTCATTGAGCAAACTCATACTGGACACACAAAAAGTGAAATGAATGAGGACGCATGTGGACATAACACAAAAACTAAATCAAGTAATTTTAGCATGTCAATGTCAAATTTATGCATATAAATATATTTTCCCAACAACAAAATTGTGGCTAGTGAAAATGCAGAGTGGCTAGTAACATTGGAAAACTACTAGCCACAGTGGCCGGTGATTAAAAAAGTTAATGTAAAGCCCTGATTGTGTTGTACTATAAATATTGGTCGTTCTGTGTGGTCTTATGTGACTTCAATGAGTATAACTCTTGTAAAGCTGACGTTAAGCTGCATTTCTCACCAGGAGGCTGTAGAAGTGTTTGATCAGCACGGAGACGACCCGGAGCAGCCGCATGCAGATGGGGAAATAGGGTTTCTCCACCGGCGCCGGAGACGCAGAGCTGGAACTGCTGCCCTGACGAAACTTAATATTAGGAGAAAACAGCTTGATGACCAGCGGACACACACGCTCCTTCAGCAGGAAACTGAACTCCTGATGCTGCACACATACACACACACCCCAAAACAACCAGCAGGAGGTTAAGTACAACCATCGGAAAGGCAACAGCTGGGAATGAGCTTGTTTATTTCTTTGCTTCCTTCCTTCCTTCCGTGCGGATTGTTTGTTTTGGTTGGGATGTGAGGAGTTTACCTGCAGGAACACTTGAGGAAAGTCATTTAATACCGACTCCAGCAGCTCCAGGCCGAACGTGCGGGTCATTTCAGTCATTCCTACTAACCAGTAGGGGGCGTCAGCGTTCACCAGTTGACACAAATCCTGCATAATTAAGGATATTTGCATATTATTATTTGGGGAGCTTATCAGGTCATTTAAGATGCATTTGATATAGTATGTAGAAAATATTTCCAAGCACAAACAAATCGAATACACCAATCATTTATAATTTGAGATGCTCATTTATTTGTGTATGGGGCGCTCATTCATTTAGTTATTTGCAGTGTTTACTGTGAGGCGACACAGTGGCTCAGTGGTTAGCACTGTGGCCTCACAGTAAGAAGGTCGCTGGTTTGAGTCCCGGCTGGGTTAGTTGGCATCCTTGTGTGGAGTTTGCATGTTGTAAAAGTTATATAATGTTACTATTATTATTTTCTGATTCATTATTATTTTTATTTTGCATGGTGTATTTGTTTGGCATGTTAAAGTCAGTTTTATGACGTTGCAATACTGCTTCTGACCTCCAAGAGGGCGCTAGTTTTTAATTTAATTTAATGATAAAACTGGACGACTCACCTGAAACAGCATGTATGCGTCTTTAGCGCTGGGTCTCAGGGTGCTGACGGAGCGCCGGTTACAGTTTCCCTGAACAGCAGGAGGCTCTTCATTCAGACCTAAATGGAGCAGTTATAAAATATATCGAGGATCAGAGCACTGTGGTCAATGCGAACACAACAGAGGTCTCAAGCACCTTTCGCCTCTTCCAGCTTCATGTTTAAAGGGTCACGAAACACCAGAACACATGTGTTGAGCTGTTGACAGTCGTATATGTGTCCCACACTGCTAAAAACACTATTAGGACACCTATATTTCACTAAAAAGTGTAAATTGGTCGTTATTTCGCGCAAATTCGTACTTCCAGTTTGAAACAAATTTTCGAAGCTGTGTCACGGCCATGTGATCTTATCGTGTATTCCAGCGTGTAGACTGGATGTCTGTGCCTGGGAGTACCGTATTACGTGTGGTGCATTAATGCATGAGGAAGGCTTGCTTCAAACCAATCAGCACGCTCTATTTTGCAACTTCTTTAATATTCATTACTGTCACAGTGTTTAGACGGCAGAGACGCCACGTTGTGTTGGCGAAACAAGCGTGAAGTGTTGCTTTCATAACCTGCTACAGTGAAGGTTTTGTTTTCATTTTCTCTCTATGCAGCTGGAGTCACGTGTGGATTACAGTGCACGCGACGCTTGACAACAATAACTTGGACATAATGGAACATTGCTTACCCGAGAGCTTTTCTTTTCTGCTTATGTTGATCCGGATTTGCTGCTCGTCTCCTCATAATAAAGACGCGGCTCTAGCTGCTGGTGATTGTCCTGTCTCTACAGATTTGGTAAGTGAGCGACCAGTGCTCTTTGTTTATTCAGTTTGTTCGTATCGAACTAACTACTACACTGAGTGTAAACATGTTAGCATCACAACCAAACTATTACCGTCGTGTAGGATTTTCACCGCATTTAGTGACCGGAATAACACACGCGGCTTTCTGACGCTACCCGCCGAGTGCATCTAAGTTCTGCAGAGTTTTTTTTTTCTCATTCGCCGTGCGGTATCAAACATTGCATGAAAAATACACGCTTAGAGCAGTTCCTCGAATCAAATATCTCGTTTGTCGCGAGGGGCACGAATGAAATTCCTGAATGAAAGAGCCAAACTGCAGTTAAAGTCCACCATTTAATAATTTGGCAAATAATTCGACTACAGATGTCCATGTAAACACAGTCACTTTCTCCCGTGTGTGTGAGTTTTGACTCTGAAACTCAGGTCCCGTTGTTTTGCTACTGTTACGCCATCCGTCCACACTACACCGGAGTTTTCGAGCGCCGAAAATGGAGTGTTTTGGAAACGCTGGAGAGGCCGTTTTCATCCTGAAACGCTGCTGCTCCGTCTCAGTGTGGATGAGGAAAACAGAGACATCTAAAAACGGAGGCGGGGCTGCTGAGATTCGCTAGCTGATTGGGGCTTTTGTGTCATTGCGTATCCTTCCCTTATTCGTCAAGCCCCTATCACATGACTATAACACATGGCTTTAACGCTGCCGGAAGACCAGCCTTCACTTTAAACAACAACATGGACACAGAAATGGGAGCGTTGTTTGCACTATTGTCTGTTTTAGGCGCCGTTGTGCAGTTATTTAATCTGTTACATTTAGTAACTCGACCTCGTCGTCTGTCCACAAAAACACCTCTCTTGCTTTCTTTGTCATCGAGTTTAATGTTCAACTGGCACTTGTTGACTAACAATAACCAAATGCCGAGCGAGACACGTGCTTCCTGTTTAAACTAAAATGAGCATGCCCAGAGAGCGCGAATGGTCACGTGATATACATTTTTTGGTGGCGTAGTGTGGACGCAGATATGTTCAGAAACGCTAGTTAAAACGCAAGTGTGGAGGCAGATCGTTTTTGATCTAAAACGCCGTTTTCAAACTAAAACGCACTAGTGTAAACGGGGCCTCAGCATGTGCCTAAATCGACACTCCCACATCATCCCTCTTTTGCTCATCCGACACTCCCGCCTAAACAGAGCTGGACACTTTTCTGACTTTTTCCAAAGTAGAGGTGTGAAAACACCCTGCTGAAACGAGGGGGTTTCATGGCCCTTTAAAGGGTCACAAAACACCAAAATACATGTGTTGAGCTGTTGACAGTCGTATACGTGTATATGTGTTCACTATTAGGAAACATATATCTCACTAAAAAGTGTAAATTGGTTGTTTTTGCGTTATTTCAAGCAAATTTGTACTTCCTGTTTGAAACGAATTTTTGAAGCTGCGTCACGTTCATGACATAATAGCGTGTATTCCAGCGTGCAGACTGGCCGTCTGTGCCAGAGTGTGTCTTATTACGTCTTACAGTGTGCTGCATTAATGCATGAGTAAGGCTTGGTTCAAACCAATCAGCGTGCTCTATTGTGCAACTTCATTAATATTCATTACTGTCACAGTGTTTAGACGACTGAGACGCCACGTTGTGTTGGCAAAACTAGCGTGAAGTGTTGCTTTTATAGTTTGCTGCAGTGAAGTTTTGTTTTCATTTTCTCTCTCTGTGAGAGCGCAGCTGGAGTCACGTGTGGATTAACAGTGTACGCGACGCTCGACAACAATAACTTACGTGTCTAAGGAGGATTATTGTTTACTTGAGAGCTGTTCTCATCTGCAAACGCTGAGATCCGGATTCGCTTGTAGTCTCCTCTTAATAAAGACGCGGCTCTAGTTGCTGTGGATTGTCCTGTCTCTACAGATTTGGTAAGTGAGCGACCAGTGCTCTTTGTTTATTCAGTTTGTTCGTATCGAACTAAGTTAGCTATTGCACCGAGTGTAAACATGTTAGCACCACAACCAAACTTTAACCTCGTGTAGGATTTTCACCGCATTTAGTGACCGGAATAACACACACGGCTTTCTGACACTACTTCTTTTCTCTTTGCCATGATGACAGTAAATAATATTAGGCTAGATATTCTTCAAAGACACTAGTATTCAGCTTAAAGTGACATGTAAAGGCTTCACTAGGTTAATTAGGGTAAAGTTAGGGGAATTAGGCAAGTCATTGTATAACGATGGTTTAAAATGGGTTTAAAAAAATTAAGAACTACTTTTATTCTAGCCGAAATAAAACAAATAAGACTTTCTCCAGAGGAAAAAACATTATAGGAAATATTGCAAAAAAATTCCTGAATCTGTTCAACATCATTTGGGAAATATTTGAATAGGAAAAATCACAGGAGGGCAAATCATTTAGACTCTATCTGTATAAACAGTAGGTAACCAGACAGAATAGCCATCGATATCTCTCTCTGTCTCACCTTTAAAGCGCTCGTCCTCGGCCACCATCCGCTCAAACACCACAGTCACCACCTGCCTGACGGTGGCGGCCGCCGTGTTGTTGGTGATGTTGTCTTTGGTGAAATGCAGACGGAAACACAGAACGATGGCCTGAGGACAAACACAGACACAGACTCAAAATGAAAACTATTTAAAGGTCCTCTGAAGTGCTATAAGTCTGCATTTTTAATCAATGTTTGATGCAATCTCAACGGTAACACGAAACGAGGGTGGGACATAGTGTAGCCCCTCCCCTTTATAAAAAAAACAGTCAATAGCATTTGGTTTTGATCACAGCTCTGCCAGTGAAAGCGTTTAAGCTCAAGCGCATCAAATGAAAAGCCAATGAGAAGAAGGGGGCGGGGCATGTCAGAGACTAGAGAGCATTCGATTGGTCAGAATATTTGATGAGACACTGAAGTACGATGAGGTGAAGTCAAAAAGATCAGCAAGCTTTAGAGGTTTACATCAGTCTTATATTTTGTAAACACAAATTTTGGAGTACATTAGATTATGGATATCCTTAAAACTAACAGACTGATACTAACAGGACCTTTAATGTCATAAAAAAAAAGAGTAGATATTTCTAGAAACAAAAAGAGTACTATTTGTGCAGGACATTGCTTATTAGATCCTAAAGGGGCTTTTATTTTGCTGCTGTACATCTGAAAGTTTAATATGCAAATCATTTTTGAATTTCCGCAATCTTCCTATGATGATTAATTTAATACTTTAGTTCAAAACAAATAATTACATTAATAAAACAAAGCTTTTTTTTAACGTTGGATCATTATTTATGGTTACCTTGGACAGCACTTCATCATGTACGATGGTGTTGGTGGTGAGCAGCACGAGCACCGTCTGCAGAAGTTTGAGCTCCTCCAGGCCGTTCTCCATCAGCTGCCACAGCATGTTGATGATGTTTCCCGCCGCCGCCTAGACATCAACACATAAACCCACACTGACACCTCAAACCCACACACGCTAGGACAAACTACAATGCTGAGACGCAATAGTAGCAACTGCACATTTAAAAAGAACTTCTCATTTTGACTCATGACATTTAGCATTTCTATAACAAACTAAAACACTAAAGCTGTGTTCACACCAGACGCGGAACGGATAAATCGCGCTATTTGAGCGTAAATAGCCACGTGAACATTTGAGTTTGCTCGCTTCATTCGTGTGTCAAATTCACTTCAGAACAGACGCAGATTCGCGTGATGGGCAGGGCTTCTGTCAGCCCGGTGACTCTAGCTTCATAGTTAAAAGGCTAACATGAAGAGAATAACGGTGTTTATGTGCTTTATGAAGGATGATAAACAGCGTCGATACATTTAGGGTCGTGTCTGAGTCCACTACATCCTTTCAGAGATGCATCCAGCTCTTTAAGCTCATAAACTCCTCAAGAAACTGAACCTGGCTGATGGAGGTTTTCAGCGGTGCTTCTGACTGAGTCCAGCCCAGTTTGATGAACTTCTTGTCGGTGTCGGCTGGAGGATTTCCCCTGGGACACCGACAACAGGCGATACGTCACAATCACGCCCCCACAAGAGCAAGCTCCTGATTGGTTAACGCGACGCGAATGTCCGCTGAAGTTCAGATTTTCGAATGCGAGTGATTCGCGCGAAACGCATTAAGCGTGTCAAAAACGCAAAACGCTCAATTCGCGCCATGCCGTTCGCGCCATGGCACCGCACAATTCTCTTCATTTGCGCCGCGCCACTCGCGCGTATCGCGCCACAGGATGTCTATTCGCGTTTCTGCATTGACTTAATATGTAAATCACTAGCTCTTGACGCGCGTTCTGCGTCTCGTGTGAACGCAGCATCAGGGCTCTATTTTAACGGTCCATGCGCAGAGCGGAAAATGCAGGGCGCAAACGCTTTCAGGGCATGTCAGAACGCATTTTTGCTAATTTAAGGACGGGAAATCTGCTTTGCGCCGTGGCACATGTTCTAAAAGGGTTGAGTTTATTTTCTTAATGAGTTATAGGTGTGTTTTGAGAATAAACCAATCAAAGTCTCATCTTCCATTACCTTTAAGAGCCAGCTGCGTCACGCCAAGAGCGCATTCGCTATTTACAGGACGCAAAGTAAGTTCACTTTCGCTTTTGCTCTCGTGGATAGGGAAACCTTACTGCACAGACATCAATAGCCTATAAATAATTAATTTCGTTTGTTAAGCGCAAAGATTTGTTTCAAAACTATTTCTAAATTCAGTTCTAATTTCCAGCAAACGAATAAATTAACAATAATAACAAAGTGTGCTCAAAATATTGAGTTATTTCCAAATACACCTGCCATGCCCAATACGGTCTAAAACCTGACAGGTGGGCAAATCTAAGATTGTTTTTAATAAAACAAATATAAATATGGATATAATAAATAATACTGCTAATAATAATGACATTATACAAAAGCAAATAATGAATGAACTGAAAAAGCCTCCCGAGATGAAGAAAGTATGACAGCAGTGGTTTTTAAATTCATGTAGGCTAGAAATTAATATGTTATTTAATATTTTAATCATTTATATTTATATCCTATATATATCCTTATTATATATATATCCTTAATATATTATATCTTCTTCATATGTAAAGATATTTGCGTATTGCTCTGCATCTTGTGTGCAGTGTGTAAGCCAGGCGCACTTTGCGCCAGACAATAGACCGAATTTGTTCTGGTCTAAAGATCAGACTATTTACAGTTTCTCAGAATAGCAACGCAGCAAAACACGCCTGCTTTTTTTAGACCAGAACGCCTATGGGCGCACATTTGAGCACAAATGCATTTGCTATTTAAACAGTGTGGCGCAACACCTCAAAATGACCCTTGCGCCGAGCTGAAAGTAGTAAAAGACTGTTGCGCCGCGCCTTGCGCCACATTGCGCCGAGTGTATGATAGAGCCCTAAATCTTAGCAAGGCAACACACACTATTTGGAGACTGAACTGTGTTTGTTCAGGTATTAATTATCAAAAGTATTGATTATCAAAATGTTTAAGTTTGTGTGTGTGTATATATGTGCGTGTATGCATGCATATATGTGTCTGTCTGTCCCTGTGTGTGTGTGCATGTATGTATGGATGTATATACATGTGTGTGTGTATCAGTGTGAAAGTGTGAGTATTTGCAAGGTTATGCGTGTGCGTTATCTGACCTCAGACACCACCTCGTGTGACATCAGTCTCTGTATGGCGGCGAGGCACAGCTGTGTGATTTTGGGCTCTTTGGTCCCGCAGCCCATGAGGAACGGCTGCACCACTTCAGAACTGTTCTCCTTCAGCGCTGCGCCAACATAATCAACACGACGTCACATCCACCACTCACAAAAACACAACATTTCATCATCAACACTACAGCAGCGGATCTCACCTGCCAGGATGTCTGTGTTTCTGGCTGCGATGGTTTTGATCTTCACGATGCCGGACTCTGCAGCCTACAGACACACAAACCCTCGTCAGACTCTTTAAGGGCAATAAAGTACGATGATGTAAGTAAATAAGAAGTAACACTTTAAACAAAGATTATCAAAAGATTACTCGCATACAAAATAAAACTTTGTTTTGACTTAAAGTATGTATGTATATATATATAAATGTATATATATATATATATATATATATATATATATATATATATATATATACATACA